AGAACAGAGAGAAGGGTTATTGTCCGTATTTCTGAACACACACCAAAGAACCTTACAGGCATTAGACAATGCTATCGTGCTCCATCTATTGGATACTAGCCATATTGTAGACATACTGTGGTGAGAGCTATCTACTAGCCAAATTGGTAGACAGTAATTTACGTCAATGTTTACGTTCCCAAGATTTGTCGTGAGAAAATATGAACAAAGACTGATTCAAAACCAAACACAGCAGACTTTGCGTAGGCGGATACAGTTAACATATAGATGATCTGACATTCAAGAAACAGTCACAAAGAGATGTAAGATTAACTTTACGTGAGAAACAACCAATCAGAAGACTGTGTTTGTTTGTTTAACTAATCTATAATAATGTACATGAAAATATATAAATATGCTTTGATTTCCTTAATAAACGATCTGTTGCCTGGCTCTTGTCTTCTGTTGTTACAATACTAGATAAGTTTATTTGAAAAAATATCACAGTGATGCAGTATTCATAACTGGATTATTAATAACTGAATCAAGGTTTTAATGCTGCATTACTGTGTGATATTTAAAATAAACTTTGGTGATGTGGAATTACATTCTACCACATTGTCTAAATCCGACACTAACATGCTGTAGACAATCTGAAGGTGTTCATCATAAGAAACAGGTGAACGAAATCTAGCTTGCTACGTTGTGCTGTGGCAATCTCCATTTTTTCCCTTTCACGTTCCCCAGTGGAACATAGGGCTTCAACCTAGTGGCTTGAAGTTTCTGTAGCAGTGTTTATTTTACAGGATGGGGTTGCTAGCCTCATGCCCAACCTTTCCTCTTTACCAGCATTATTTCTAGCTTAGCGAGGTAAAGGAGTGCGTCGGCCGGGGATCGAACCTCGGACCATGTGCATGGTTGGCGAGCGTCCTAACCGCTATGCCACCGACGCACAGCAGTCTCCAATAGGCGATGTAAATTAAATCTATGTATGCAGAAAGATACAGTGGTGAATGTTGCATTGACTTGGTGATAACAAAATGTTTTCAATTTTATTGCATCATCTCCCGTCCTCTTTAGAAAATTTTATTTTTTTCATCTAAACACTATTCACCCTACACCCCCTTTTTTCGCTATTTTATGAAAACATATCTTCTTTGATTACTCAGCTTATTTTGCTGTTATGCTCTTTCTAGTGTTGAACTTAGTTTCTACCCGAAAAAGTTTGTTGAACTCTCTCTTTTTGTTTCCAAGGTTATTTCTCCATTTATCGTATAAATTTGAATAAGGCATTTAGAAGACAATTGTCGCGAGATGATTGCATCATTTCGTAGTTTCTTAACAACCGCTCTACAACTTACATGGTTAACAATAATAAAATAAAGTTCATGACAATTACTCAGTTATATAAAAAAGTACATACAAATGACCAATCGTATTTAGATAGGTCAAGTAGTCCAGGGTAGGCGAGGATTGAAGTCTATTGTTGTTTTTTGTACACATAGTTTAGGATGTATGTGATTAATCAATCCAAAGTGCTTCCATCACCTTCAATAACCGACATTGAATTAGAGTTATGTGATGAAATAATTGTGAAACAGTCATTAATATTGGTTTTGTGGCCTGACATTAATAAGTGCTTTGCAATGGATGACGATGGCTCTCTATTTAGATGAATTGCATTGGGATTTTCTATATGTTTTAATAACCATTTTGGAACATGTTCTTTTCGACGACATTGGAACATTCTGTTGGTTCTACCTATATAGGTGTCACCGCAACTGCAAGTGAACTTCTAGATACAGTTTGAAGTAGAGTTTACAGAATTTCGTCCTTTAATCGTAGGTACAGGGATCGAAAATGTTCGGCATGTGAGAACAACAGATGCAGTGTAGAATGTGCGTTTGATGGATGACTGAAGTCTTTGAGCTAGCTGTCAACTGCATAATCTGGTCGCCCTTTAATGGTAAGTTAATAAAGATAGCTCTCTTTGGTATAGAAGCTGTCTTTTCTAGATGTGGTCTATCCTTACTGTGACAATTGACAAGGGTTTCTGGATAGCCATTAGCTAATAAAACTGAATGTATGTGTCGAAGCTCATCCGTCAGTGCGTCGCTGGTGCATATTTTGCATTCCCTTGAAAACAAACATTTCACAAGGGAACGTTTATACTGGATAGGAATGAAACTGGTGAAATGAATGCCTAGTGCTTTAAACCCCTAGCTAACACTTGATAATGAATATGGTACTCACTAGCCACTGGTTGGATACAGGAGGTTATCTGAAGTTTTAGTTAGAAGTAGTAATTAGAGAGGGGCTACGAAGTCAGATGATAGAATAATTACTGGCCTATAACATTGGCTAGCGGTCGCGCTATATATATCACGAATAGGCAAGAGTTGGAATTCATGTGCTAGCCACTAGATCATTTCCCAGTGGCTAAATGGTCTGCGAGCTCACATTTTAAACAAGAAGGTCCTGCGTTTGAATTCCAGTGGGTGCGTACTGTTAAAGAGTCCCGGACTAGGACGAAGTGCCTGTCTAGTACTCTCAGGGTTTTTAATGGTTTCCTAATTGATGTCATCTCGTGGTCAAACTTATAACCAATCAAATCTCTACCAAACAACACTTGATAATCATAAATATTTAATAACCTTCATCATTCCGCACTTATATTACTCATAGTTCTTACCAGTTACTTCTTATCATCGTGACAAACTTTTGTCCAAATCTTTAATGTAAGTTATGCTTTTGTATTATTCAGATTGTAGCCAGTTGAGAAGAATTCTCGAAATAATAGAAAGTTGAGCTCATATTATCCTGGTACAGTTGTCGTTCTTGCTTTATCTGAATTTTTTGTAATGAGAAGAATTCCATGAAGTTTATACTTTCTCTCTGGAAGTGAACATTCTTATGGCGACCAGACTTCTATGTCGACTTCCTTGACTCTGAAAAGGCTGTTGAAAGCGTTGAGCGTGAAGTTATTTCGAAACTACTTCAACGCTATGAAGTGTCCCAAATTTTTATCAACCTCATTCAACAACTGTAATGACAATGCCACGTGGCAAGTGATCCACAATGGAAAACTCAGCCAAGTCTTTGAAATGAAGACAGGAGCAAGACAAAGCTTCCGATTATCGTAGATGATATTCCTAATTGTGGTGGACTAGATTATGCGTCAGACTGTGTATGGCGAGAAGGCAGGAATACGTTGGACTGATAAGTAGATCTGGATTCCGCGGACGATTTATGTCTAGTGTTACAGAAAGTCGAAGACCTACAGGCAAAAATTAATGAGCTGTCAGAAGAGGCATGCAGCGAAGACAGCGCAGGATTTCAGGTGAACATTAGAGAAGACGGAGGTGATTAAGATAACCAACTAACCAACCACAAAAATAACAAGCACCAATCACTATGAATGGAATAAATTACAAAAGAGGTCATTTCCTTCACTTATCTGACCTTATCCTTTCAACTGCAGGAGACAACACGGATGAGGATATTGAAACCAGAATCGGAAAGGCAAGACAAACCTCTGTCATTCTGAAACCAGTTTGAAAATCTTCTGCACTCAGCATAAAAAAATAAGATTAGGACTAATATATGTGTAAAACTTGGGCACTGTGGTAGTAAGTAATTCCATATCAGTTTGTTTATTAGATGTATCACACATTGAGTGAAACAGTATTATTTACTGGATGACGTTTCGAAGGAAATTTATTCTTCATTATCATATCAATTGTAATCACACGACTTTGAAACTTAAGTTTAATAGTTTTCTTTGTTCTCTCCTATTTGTCGTCGTAGGGGGAGTAGAATTTTTCAAATATCTGGGACATGTGATGAATCATTCCTATTACACGTATTTGCAGCTGATTCGATAGACAAAGCTTCCATTATCAATCTCTCCCTCTACCCTGCTGTTACATTAGATTTGAAAACTGTCATCTTATCCCATCCTCCTATTGCATGGTTGTGTGTAACTGCATGTAGTGCTATAGCTGAACTATTCTCTAGATTTCTTATCTTATTTGGGTCAACCAATCTAGATTTTGCTAGGTTTTTATGTTCAGCTAGTCTGACTGCCCCTGTTCTACTACTTTGACCTATGTATTTGACCTAAGAATCATTGCAGGGTATGAGATAAACTAAATTGTTTTGTCTTAAAGGCTCTACAGGATCCTTTAACCGAGAAAGCTTGTTTCTAATTGAGTTTGTGGGTTTGAATGCCAGCCACTTTTATTCCTGCCTTGTTAAGAATTCTGCGTAAGGCTTCCGAGGTTCCTTCTTTGTGTGGAATTACTACTGATGATTTAGATTCTTTATTGTTGGTGTCGTCATTAATAATATTATTAGTATCACTATTATTATTATCATTATAATTGTTATTATCACTATCGCTACTATCATTATTTATTTTATTTTTACATTTCCTTACATATTTCTTGACTAATTTATCCGGGTAATTATTAAGTTTCAAGGCTTCTTTTATGTGTATCAGTTCCTGTTTTAGATTTTCTTTGGTACTACTTAGTTTTTGTGCTCTGTCATTTAAAAGGTTAGGATTTCCATAATACAAATTTTAAGCCAGTCAGTTCTTCTACACGGATCAGAAACTTGGCGTGCGCGTCACGAAAAGCATCTCTAACAGGCTGCATGCTTTTATCAAGAGCTGCCTTCATTGGCTTCATATTTAGGATCAAATGGTTAGAAAGAATTAGTACCAAGAAACTCTGGGAACAAAGCAACCTAGAACCGATTGCCGAACAATTATGACGAAGAAAATGGAGATGGATTGGGCACACCCTGACGAAACCGTCAAATATCATCGTGCCATCACTTGAGTGGAACTCAAATGGCAAACAGTGAGTTGGGAATGAGTCTGAGGGTGACATGGCGAGGATCGTGAGAGAAGGAGATGAGAGTCTATGGATCCTCATGTAGCGAGTTAAAGAGGACCTCAGAGAATTGGAAAAAGCGGAGATGTGCTGTTAAAGCACTCGGAAGGCAAGAGATCAATATTTCATTAAAAATAAATTTATTTGTTAAAATGAAAAACTCAATTTTCTCCATTCAATTTTTTCTACATACCATCAATTGTTCATTATGCAAATTCTCAACTGTAGCAAGTGAAATAGTATTATTACCTACTTGTAAATAAGTTTTTGGAATATACGCAGCATAATTTATTTCAGGCGTTAATGTTGGCCTTATTAAATCCACATAATTATCATTCACGTAAATAATCCCCTAAAATGGACATATATAACAAAAAATAATGTTCACTGTATAGTAGACTTGAAATAGTTACTTGTTAACATAGCGAAAATTTTCCATTTTGATATTTAGAAGACAAAAAAGAAGCGAACGAAGACATTTATTTACATAACTTTCAGATAGAAAGTAAATTTGATGTTAACAAGGCATTTAAAGTTATCTATATATAATACGGTAATTCGACTAGTCTTAATTTCCAAGTATTGGTTTTGTAGGGATTTTGTTCGGTTGGATGGAGGATTTCATAATGAGTTGACGTCAGTTAGAAAACCTGGGAGTACTGGACAGCCGTTTCGTCCTAGTTTGGGACTCTTCATCAGTACGTACCCACTGGGGTTCTGTCGTGAATTGGCAGAAGTTAGAATTCATGGGCTGGCCACTGGATCGGGTCCCAGTGGCTCAATGGTCTACGACCTCAGCTTGTAACCAGAAGGTCCTGGGTTCGAAACCCTGTGGTGGGTGCGCACTGATGAAGAGTCCCAAGCTAGGTGGGACGAAACAGCCCTCCAGTACTCCCAGCTGGTTTTCCAGTGGTTCTCTAACTGATGTCAGCTCATGATGAAATCCTCCATCTCATCTTAATTTTGTTTTTAAATGACTGGAGGTAATCGAAAAGGAGACTTGAACTTAGGTTTCGTGCCTATTGGCACTCGTCAGCAAGACGTATGTACAGTTTTGAAGGAATTTATGTTTTTCGTGAGGTTCGAACCCGTGTCACCCATCGCTGCAATCAGAAACATTACCATTGAGCTATTCAGGCTTTCGATTGACCTTCCGTAGGACTGTATTTGGATACTTTGATTGCATATTAGTTAGTAACCACTAGTACCATGCGTCTAGTTCTTTGTTTGATGTATGGTGACCACATTCCAAAGTTGACTGATATAATTCAGTCTTCATCAAGCAAATGACTAGATTGAGATGGTTAGGACATGTGTTACGTATGCTTAGTCATCGCCTTCCTCGACAACAGGCAATGTTAGCTGACATAGGGTCAGGCTGGAAAAGAAGTAGCGGCGGTCAAATCAAAACATGGCACCAGTCAACGAAATCTACAACAGTTAGTCTAGGCCACGCAGGAAGGTTTAGACTTCCTGGTTAGGGTCCTCAGGACAGTAGAAACCAATGACAGCTGGAGACAATTGATGATATGGCTCAAAATCGTTGTCAATAGCTGGCGCAGATGCATCCACTATTTGTAACTTATGATTTCAAATGAAACTATATCGTTCTTTGTTATTACTATTCCTTTGTCTCGCACATCTGTTTACTGTCTCTATTATGCATTTCTCCTACTTTCTTCTCTTGCTTTGTGTGCTACCGCACGTTGGTGCAAAGTTCTATGTCGAAAACGGACAGACAAATGACTAGACGCACGATAATAGTTGTTACTAACTACTGTCTAGCCAAATTAATCTTAGTTTTACTTCATGAATTCAGCTTCTACCTACTTCTGATGCTATCATAATCCACTTACAGAAGCCAAACCTGTGTGTTTAAAAAAAATAATTCATGTAACCACTTTTCTTAACTTGGTCATTATTACATGAATTTAATAAACCTGAAAACATTCTCCTCCTTTTAAGCTATCAACAAGTTATCATTCAACCAGTGGTTGGTGGCTGCGGTACGATCACGAATTGGTAGAGGTTAGAATTCATATGCTAATGAGCCAGATCCCATTGGTTGAATCATCTACCAGCTTGATTTGTGATAGGATGGTTCTGGGTCTGAAACCCAGTGAGTGCGCTATGCTGACTAACTTCATCTTCAGTTGTTTATTATGTAGTCGATTTCGTCACCTATTTGTCCAGAATTCTGAATTCTGTGGACCGATTGTTTAATTTTTGCAAATATTACTATCCTTTACCTGTTGCATTAAGTTTCTTGGTAAATTATCATCCACTTGCAATGTTGACACTGACTAATTATTCTTAAGAGGTTTATCACTACCATTGTGGTGAGAGCTGTCTGCTAGCCAAAATTGGTAGACAGCAATCATGGTCGTGAGAAAAACACAAGAACAAAGACTAACTCAACAACCAATAACAGCAGACTCCCCGTGGGCGGATACGATTCGCAAATATATAACCTTCAAAGAAACGCCCACAAAAAGATGACGGAATAACGTTCAGCGAGAAAACAACCAATCAGAAGACACAGTTTCTCTGCTAATGATAACGAATAATAATGTACATAAAAATATTTATAAATATTTGTTGATTTCCTCAATAAACGATCTGTTTCCTGGCCCTTGTCTTTTGCTGTTACATACTCATGACCCAACCAGGGGTCGAAGATGAATCCCCAAATTTACCAGGCCATAACGTTTATCACTGAGCTACTACAGAGTTGAGAACCAATAGGCTGAGATTTCGAAAGTTTGACAGTTTACAAAGTAGTGCCATATCACCGATGACTATCTGCTCTTATAGTCTACTTGTTGGATCCTACCAGTCACTACTTCTTATGAAAAACCTACGATGTTATTTTTAATCTGTAGTGATTCCTCGTGGTCACTATTGAATGCAGTGATTGGAGGGAGGTAAGAATTTATCACTTCATTTAGATGTAAAACTGCATGTAAAATTTACACTGTTAGAAAATAACAATATGCTCTCACCACCACTATTTTTCTAATCAATATTGTTGAACTTACATCAAAGAAACCATCATATTCAATGAATAAATCATTCAGTTTTTCTTCGTTTTCAATGTAAATAAATGTTGTGTAAATGACACCAGGAATATCCATATCTGTTTCTGTCAGTGGTTGACTATGAAAGAAAGAAAATATAGCCACTATTTATCGTATAACAAAATATATTACTAATAATAATATAAGTAGTCAATCAATTTAATCTAATAGTTTGCCTAACATCAATTTTCAGCTTTCGTATTTGACATTTCGTTATTAGAATGAAGAGAAGAGTAATACAACACTATCCTACTGGCATCGGTGGTCTCCTAGGTGGTAGGGCTATGGATCATGCGATAGACAGGGGGAATTAAGAAGACAGATATACGTTTTAACAACAAAAATACCCACGGAGATGTGGATTTCACAAGTGATTTATATTTGTATAAGTATAAAACTTGGGCACTGTGGTAGAGTATAACTCCATTATGGATAAGATTTTATTTTGATAAAGTCACGCAGTGTTATACAGTAATATTAACTGATGTGACCACGTTTCGAGCACAAACTATTGCTGGACCCAATTAAACAAAATAATATAATTTACAAAATACCTTACCTTGCAATGACTGTGAGGTCAACTATATAGGTCAAACTAGTAGGTCAGGGGTAGTCAGATTGTCAGAACATAAGAATTTAGCCAAGGTGTGAATGGTTGGCCCCGAGAAGATCAGTAATTTAGAAAAAATACTCAGCAATTGCACTGCATGCATTAACACAAAACTATACAATGGGGTGGGAGAGGGTTAATATTCTAAGAAATAATCTATGTAGGTGGAGAGAGAGATTGATTACTGAATCCCACCTGGTTCATCGAGTCTATAACCAACACATGCAGTAGAAGTGACTCAATGCAAATACTAGAGATATGGAAGATATTATTACCACCAGTCAGGCAAATCAGAGGAGGATAATAAATAATCTTAAAATTCTATCTCAATTCATGTACATCATAACATTCTAACAAGTTACTTATTTTGACTATAAAAACACTCGTCTTATTTCCCATCTGACTGTATTTGATCAATAACACTCATATTATTATTTCTGAATGTACATTATCATATATTGATTTTTATTCAAATATCTAATCGATTCCACACATGTATATAAATGAAGCAGAAAGTTGTGTGAGTGACGTGATATGATTATGAGTGGGAATAATTTGTGCTCGAAACGTGATCATCAGTTAATGTTACTGTATAACACTGTGTTATTTGTCAAAATAAAATCTTATCCATAATGGAGTGAATTATATTTCATATCTCACAAACCAGAATATATATAAAAGAGAAAACAAACAAGTTGGCAGAAAAAGCAGCGCGAAGATAGATAGGACTCCAAGTGAACACAGAGAAGACAGAGGTGATGAAGATGCCCTACCAGCAACAATAAGCGCCGATCAACTATCAAATAGGGCAATCTCAAGGAAGTTATCTCTTTCACTTATCTAAGCAACATCGTTTCAACTACAAGTGACACAGAATACGAATGTCAAGACCAGCCAGGATCGGGAATGCGAGATAGACGCTCATTAGTCTGAAGTTACTGTGAAAATATTCAGCACTCAGCGCAAGGTACAAGGTGCGAATATTTTAACACTGATAATAAATCAGCTACTGTTTCTAATATGGTTTGCAGGCTTGGTACATAAGTTACCGAAAGCCTTAGCAACAAGCTTCTGTATACTTTTTTCAGCCTATCCACCTTCCCTTTGATATTGATTATCAGAAAGCTTGCCAGATAGCACAGTCAATTGATTCTGTCAGCAAACCAACCGAGACCCTATTAGCGAAAAAATATGCAGATGGCAATGGAGATGAATGCCAAGTAATGCATGCCAAGTAATCCACAACGGGAAACTTACGGAATCCTTCGAAGTGAGGACAGGAGAAAGACAAGCTGGTTGCCTACTATCGCCAATGATTTTCCTGATTGCAGTAGATTGGATAATGTGACAAACAGCGAGCAATGAGGAAACAGGCATAAAATGGACTAACACAAAAACATTGGAGGATCTGGAATTCGCCGATGATATATGTTTGATTTCCCACAAACTGGAAGATATGCAAGCGAAAAGCAACAAGTTGGCAGAAGAAGCATCCAGAGAAGATACGACTTCAGGTGAACATAGAGAAAACAGAGGTGATGAAGATTCCTGGACAAGAACAACAACAACAGACAATGATCAGCATAAATGGGATGAACCTGAAAGAAGCAATCTCTTTTACCTACCTGGGAAGCATCGTTTCAACTACAGGCAGACGGGACTGACGAGGATATCAAAGCAAGAATCGGGAAAGCAAGGCAAGCTTTCATTACTCTCAAGTCTGTGCGGAGGTCAACAGCACTCAGCATCAAAAATCAGATCCGGATTTTCAACTCCAATGTGAAGTCAGTCAGTGCTACTATACGGATCAGAGACTTGCACTGCGCGTCATAAAGAGCATCTCAAACAAACTACAGACCTTCATTAACAGTTGTCTTCGCTCAATACTCAAGATCAGATGGCCGGTCAGGAAAGATCAACATCTCTCGGAGCGAACCAACCCAGCAGGAACCGATTGTGAAACAAATAAGCAGGAATAAATGGAGATGGATTGGCCATACTCTTAGGAAACCATCAAGTGACATCACTAGACAAGCCATTGCTCGAGTGGAACCCGAAAGGGAAGCGGCGAGTTGGTCGTCAGTGCAAGGGTGACTTGGAGGAGGTCATGTGAAGAGGAGATGAAAACGTATGGGCAGACTTAGACCAGGTGAAGACTCTAGGAGAGAACCGAACGCAATGGAGACGCACGGCTGAAGCCCTATGTTCCTCTAGGAATTGAAGGAAACAACAACAATTATAATAATAATAAATGGAGATGAATTGGACACAGGCTGGCGAGTCCATTGAGTGATATCATATGCTAGTTGAACCCTTGAATGGAACCCAAATGGGAAATGAGAGACGATTTCAGCTTGGGTTCTAGGTTGGCGTGGAAGATATCATGTGAGGAGGGAATCAACGCTCATGGTTAATGTCTATGGAGAACAGAATGAAACAGAATGGTACTGCTGAAACTCAGTGTTTCACTCGAAACCCAATGGACAATAATGACGTAATATTCACGATTAAAAATCACAATTCTAAAGGGGATTTTCTTGAAAATAATAGAAATAATTAAATGCACGAACATTATATCCTGTTTACCTCATATTTTGCATATCAATAAATGGATGTTTTACAGGCAAAAACGACCAATTTATTAATTCTTTATCATTAAAGTAAACAGAACCTGAAAGACCCTGAAAATACAAGACAGAAGTAGGAAAAAACAATTACTGTCAAATGTTAAGGTGTTCAAATAAAATTACAATGAAATGATTCAAATTTGTTCACGAATTGACTTCAGTTAGCAAACCAATGAAAGTCAGTGAGCACTAAACCCGGTTTGGGACTCTTCAGCAGCAGAACTTGGGACCTCTAGGCTGACCATCCAGCAATTGCGATGGAATCTAATGGCCGTTGAATTTTAGCTTCCGACAATTTGTGAAATATGAAGATTCCAAAACGAGGATGAAACAGATTTACAGTACTTAGGGGTTTTAAATGGTTGTCTGCATGAAGTTAGGTCGTGATCTAACTTGAGTTCATTCAAAATCCTTGCGAATCAACTCTTGGTGGATTACTGAACTCGTAAATCAGAATATGATTGCCAAAAAAGGAGTAAATAGTCTCTTAAAAGCTGTCACAGTAATGTTTATAGCATTTATGAAATATCCGTCGGTATTAATATTGAAATATGAGTAACTCTGAAGGTTAACATACCGACTTGATGAGTCGGTTTTAAATTTACTTTTGATGAATTTATACCTGTCTACATCTTTTAGGTTTCAAACTAAATATCAATTGATTTCTTCTCTTTACATAACACTCCAAGACTAGTCTCAGTATTCGAATCACAATTTGAGCACAGTTTGACACCTGAGGTCAAAAAACACTAATATTTTTTGATCCTGTATACCTTCAATACCCATATCTAACAAGCGTATAGTGGGATGGAACAAAGTGATGGACAGTACACACATCCCACTAGCGTCAAAGATAACTTAAGTTGGGAGACGCAAAACAAGCCTTTCATTTCCATGCTCAGATTTGGTCAGCATTCAGTCCGTGAATTCTGATGTAACTCCGCAAATAAGCACAGCTGGTAATACATTGAAACATTTCATTCCTTGATTTTAAAGTGGGAGTCATTTAAGACCAGTCCTCGGATATCATCCTGCATTCGATTAAGCTTTTCCGATGTCAACCGTGCTTGGAACCTTTATCGAGAAGACTGCATTTTGTTATTATCTTCAGGTAGAGGAACTATATCATCTATGAACTTCTGTCGACCGGAGCCATATGCATTCATGGATCTGTAATGGTATTGTGGTGAGAGCTGTCTGCTAGCCAAATTGGTAGACAGTAATTTACGTCAATGTTTATGTCCCAAATATTGGTCATGTGAAAACAAGAACAAAGACTGACTCAACAACCAATCACAGCAGACTTTGCGTAGGCGGATACAATTAGCAGATAGATGATCTGACCTTCAAGAAACAGCCACAAAGAGATGAAAGATTAACTTTCAGTGAGAAACAGCCAATCAGAAGACTGTGTTCGTCTGCTAACAATAATCTATAATAGTGTACATGAAAATCTATAAATAAGTGTTGATTTCATTAATAAACGATCTATTGCCTGGCCCTTGTCTTCTGTTGTTACAGTATTACATAAAGTTTGTGATAATAGGCATTCATGATAAACACCACTAGCTGTTGCACTTCAGCTGTTACATAACCGTATGAAGTCCGGTAAAGTTCCTTGATTACTGCAGTAAACATTCTGAGTACACTCTTCACAGTCGAACATTGTCATAACACATTTTGATCAACTTAGTTAAATGAAATATGGAAAATATTTAGTGTCGATAAGTATGCCTATGTCTTCTCAGGTTTGCCGTTCCTGAGCCATGCTTGGTCTTCACGAATATATGTCAATCACTAAATCACAAAGTTATACTGGATATTTATTTAATTCTAGTTTGGAACTCTTCACCAGTTCGAAAAACCAAATTCATTCACAATTAAGCAGTCGGGATCCTATGAATTAAATTTTATATATTTCCAGTAATTGTCGTCACACTCGTATTCATGAATTCCACACTTGGAGGTCTATCTTGAAGCAGGTCAACTAACCACGACCAGAAGTAGTTGGAATGTCTGTTAAAAGTCCTTCGTGTAGAAAATCTGTCTGAATGACCAATTGGCTTGTCATTTTAATCTTCAAGTGTCGGTTTGCAGAGATTTGATTCGTTACAGGATCTCATCATGAGCTGACATCAGTTAAAGAACCATTGGAGAACCTGGGAGTACTGTACATCTGTTCCGTCCTAGTTTAATTATTATTATTATTTCCTTTAGTTCCTAGAGGAACATAGGGCTTCAGCCATGCGTCTCCATTGCGTTCGGTTCTCTGCTAGAGATTTCACCTGGCTCCAGGTCTGCCCACATGCTTTCATCTCCTCTTCACATGATCTCCTCCAGGTCACCCTTGGACGACCAACTCGTCGCTTCCCTTTCGGGTTCCACTCGAGGGCTTGTCTAGTGATGTCACTTGCTGGTTTCCTCAGAGTGTGGCCAATCCATCTCCATTTCTTCCTGCCTATTTGTTTCACAATCGGTTCCTGGTTGGTTCGCTCCCAGAGATCTTTGTTGGTGATCCTTTCCGGCCATCTGATCTTGAGTATTGAGCGAAGACAACTGTTAATGAAGGTCTGTAGCTTGTTTGAGGTGCTTTTTGTGACACGCCAAGTCTCTGATCCGTATAGCAGTACTGACTTCACATTGGAGTTGAAAATCCCGATTTTATTTTTGACGCTGAATGATGTTGAACTCCACACAGACTTGAGAGTAGTGAAAGCTTGCCTTGCTTTCCCGATCCTTGCTTTGATATCCTCGTCAGTTCCGCCTGTAGATGAAACAATACTTCCCAAGTAGGTAAAGGAGGTTGTTTCTTTCAGGTTCCTTCCATTTATGCTGATTGCTGTCTGCTGTTGTTGCTGTTGGTGTTGCCCAGGAATCTTCATCACCTCCGTTTTCTCTATGTTCACCTGGAGTCCTATCTTTGATGCTTCTTCTGCCAACTTGTTGCTTTTCGCTTGCATATCTTCCAGTTTGTGTGAAATCAGACATATATCATCGGTGAAGTCCAGATCCTCCAAGTTCTTTGTGTGAGTCCATTTTATTCCTGTTTCCTCATTGCCCACTGTTTGTCGCATTATCCAATCTACCGCAATCAGGAAAATCATTGGCGATAGTAGGCAGCCTTGTCTTACTCCTGTCTTCACTTCGAAGGATTCCGTGAGCTTCCCGTTGTGGATTACTTGGCATGCAGCGTTGTCATACAACTGTTGGATGAGATGTATAATTGTCAGTGGCACCCCGTAGTAGCGAAGTAGTTTCCAAATCACCTCTCGATCGACGCTGTCGAAGGCCTTTTCAAAGTCGATGAAGTTGAGATAGAGAGGTGACTGCCATTCCAAGCTTTGTTCAATGATGATCCGTAGTGTGGCGATTTGATCAATACATGACTTGTTTCTCCTGAATCCAGCTTGTTCTGGTCGAAGTTTTTCATCCAGGGCTTGTTTGATGCTCTCCAGGATGATGCGGCTTAGTATTTTGCTTGGGATGGACAGGAGCATAATTCCGCGCCAGTTCTTGCATTGACTTAAGTCTCCTTTCTTTGGTAGTTTGAATAGGTATCCTTTCTTCCAATCCTCGGGTACTTTACCTTCTTTCCACACCTTCTCCAGTAGTGGCGTCATCAAGTCTGCTGTTGTCTCTGGGTCCACTTTCAATGCTTCTGCTGGGATTCCATCTGGTCCTGCTGCTTTTCCAGCTTTTAGCATCTTGATTGCCTTCAGGACTTCTGATTTCGTCGGGGGGTTGATGTTCACTGGTAATTCTGCTTCCGTTGTTGGTATTGTTGGGCGCGTTGTAGGTGGCGGTCGGTTTAGTAGTCTTTTGAAGTGTTCAGCCCAGTGTTTCCTTTGCTCCACTTCTTTGGTGATTGACATTCCATTTTCATCCTTCACTGGCTTAATTTGTGACGAGTTTTTGCCTGAGAGGTACCTAGTTGTTTGGTAGAGTGTTGCGAGGTATCCTTTGCCTGCTGCTTGTTCTGCTTCATTGGCCATGGCTTCATAATACTTTCTTTTGTCTTCTCTGGCACTCTTCTTTACTCCTTTGTTCAGTGTATTGTAGCTTGCATTCAACTCCTGTTTCTGTTGCTCGTCGGTGCACTGGAGAATCTTTTGTTTCACCATCCTTCTCTCTTGTATTAGCCTCCAAGTGTCTGTAGTGAGCCACGGTTTGTCCTGTCTCTTCTTTCTGCCCAGAACTTCCATGCAGGTTTCGCTCCATACTGTTTTCAGGTTGTCCCAGTGTTTTTCGACGCTGACCTCTTCGCTAATGTTGATTTGTGTCTCAGCTTTGTCCTTTATACTTGCAGTGAAGATATCCTTTGTATCCTGGTCCTTTAGTTTTTGAGTGTTGAACTTGGCTTGTGGTCTATCTGCAGCTCCTGATTCTCTGAAAGCTTTTAATTTGAGTTGGATTGTTCCTTGTACGAGGTAGTGGTCTGAGCCAACGTCTGCTCCTCTTCTTGCTTTTGTGTCCAGTAGGCTGCGCCGCCACTTCCTCGAGATTGTGATGAAGTCAATTTGGTTTTTGGTTCGCCCATCTGGTGACACCCATGTAGCCTTGTGAATATCCTTGTGGTCCTAGTTTAATACTCCTCATCAATACGCATCCACTAGGTTTCGACCCCAGGACCTTCCGGTTACATGGCGAGCTCGCAGACCATTAAGGCACTGCGACATGATTCAGTGGCCCATGAATTCAAACTTCTGTCAATTCACGATATAGTGTGACCACTAACCAATTTCATCGGCGAGTATTTGTCTTCACACACCCAACCTGCTGTACACCACTGGTTATGACTTCTCCTGTCATGATGAGATCCTGTAACCAATCAAATCTCCACAAACCAACATTTGAACATCAATCGGATGCTCACCAGCGACTGGCCCTATTCAGGTAGGTAGTTGCCTGGATTTTTGTGAGAAGTCGTGACCAACAGGGTACAGCAGGACACCTGTGAGGACAAATACTCGTCCTGGCAGTTGAAACAGATGTCCAGTACTTCCAGGTTTTCTAATGTTTATCTAACTGATATCAGCTCATAATGAAGTCCTGTTACCATTTGAACGTTGGCACATTTTGAAGAAAGACATACACACAAAAGTGCAGGGAGAAAGGTTATTAAACCACAGGCGACCAAAATATACTGGAGATAGAATAATTAGATAATGATTAATGAGAATTTCCTGAGTCAGTGAGGTGAAAAGGATTGGACACGCTGACACCTTTGAGAATGATTTGGAACTGTGTCATATAAACACAAATCCCACTGATGAAATCACTGAAGACTTACTTTCAGCTGGTTGTGTTTCCCATCAAATATTGTATTGTATCCAGTATTTTCTACTAAAATTAATAAAACTTCTGCTGGTGAATGTGTTTTCATGTTAATCAATGCTGACTTTGTATATTTATGTATAGTTCCATGATAAATCTGTAAGTAAACCGACAAAATTATACTAAGAGAATATTCTCTTGTAAAAAATGTAACTTATGAAAATCAATAATAAGTCTACAGAATCCAAGAGAAACATTAAGTTTTAACAAAGCAAAAACAAGCGAAACATTTCTGCAGGACTAAATGAGATTACGTCTTCTTATTTTACGACTTTTATTCAGCTTAAATATTCATTCAGACATCTATAAAACACAAAATAACTGAGCAGAGACTATCCGTTGCAATAATTTCCTCTTCTGGCTCTACAATTATGTGTATGTTTGTATACATACAATATTCCAGAATAGTAGTCAGTAATAATATTGATCTTTTTAAATAATATCGATTTGTAAAGTATGATCAATGGGATTACAGTTCATTAAAGACGCTCAAATTATAATAATAATCAAGATATAATAGCAACGACAACGGCACATGTCAAGTGATCCACAACGGAAAACTCAGCGAGGCGTTTGGAGTAAACACAGGAGTCAGACAAGCGTGCTTATTATCAACAATGATATTCCTAATTGTGGTGGACGGACTGGATTATGCGTCAGACAGTGGGAAACGAGAAGACAGGGATATCCTGGACCGACGTGAACAACTTAGAACCTAGACCTGGATTTCGCGCGTGGATGATTTATGTTTGATGTCACACAAAATCGAAGACTTACAAGCGAAAACCGACAAACTGGTCGAAGAAGCAGCAAAGACAGGACTGCAGGTGAATATAGACAAGACGGAGGTTATGAAAATCACCAACCAACAACAACAACAGCAGTAGCAACATCCAGTGCTAATCACCATCAACGGGAGAATTTGAAAGAGGTTACTTCATTCACTTATCTAGGGAGCATTGTCTCAACTACAGGAGGAACGGACGACGAGGATGTCAAATCGAGAATCGGGAAGGCGAGAAACACATTCATCAACCTGAAACCAATCTGGAAATCTTCGTCACTCAGCAACACTCAACAACAAAATTCGGATTTTCAATACAAACGACGTCAAGTCAGTCAGTTCTTCTATACGGATCAGAAACTTGGCGGGTCACCAAGAATATTTTCAACAGGTTGCAGACCTTTATCAACAGCTGTCTTCGTTCTTTACTCAAGATCAGATGGCAAGAAAGAATCACCAACAAGAAACTATGGGAACAAACAAAACAAGAACACTCGCTGAGGAGGCCGTTGGGTGACATCTCGCGTCAGACCATAGCTCGAGTGGAACCCGAAAGGGAAGCGGCGAGTGGGACGTCCAAGGGTGACATGGAGGAGATCGTGTGAAGAGGACTTGATACAGTATGGACTAACATGGATGCAAGTGAAAAGTACAGCAGAAGACAGAAGCAAGTGGAGACGTGCAGTTGGAGCCCTATGTTCCACTAGGAACACAAGGGAATAATATAATAGCAAATAGAATATCAACTGGAATTAGCAGAATTCTTCAAAAATTGAGGATCAGACTGAAGTGGAAATGTCCAGCTGAAACATTATGTATCACTCGAGAACCAACGGGATAACAGTCATACTCCAACCAATCGATTATGTATTAATTTCCTTACCTACACTTATATTTTGTAAGCTCTAGTTTTTGTGGTCATCTACTTTGATTTTATTTGTCAAAAGACTCAAGTTATTGTCATATATAAATCGTTAAAATTTCATTTTGCATAGAATGTTTTTGAGAATAAAGTTATTATTATTAACATTATTACTACAGGTATGAAGAGAAATATTTTCTGCGTCTTTTATTTTATACTACTTGAAATATTCAGTAGTGTATATTTTTCTCGTTAAGAAATGTGAACATGAGTATGAGATAAGGATAAATGACAACCAATTCATAATATTATCATATAAACTCAACGTACATAGCCGTCTGCTTCACTCCATGTGTATACAAAGCCTTCTCCTCCAATATCGTCGAATTTCAGCTCACCAACTTGACTACTTATAAAATCTTCACTATCTGTGGAGTATACAGAAAACCCTTGATACTTTTAAGGGGTAGGGGGTGGGAAGAATGAAAAAAAGAAGTAAATTATAAACTCATTATAAGGATGAAATAAATTTATTCACTTGATATATATATATATAATTATACCATTAATAGTTTAAATTCATGTCTAATTTTTAAGAAGAATAGACACGGAACAAAGAGTACTCTTTTCGATAACTTCATCACCAGGCTCTACAGTTATATATATACATGATAGTGAATAAATGAATTAGTCTTATGAACGACATTAATGTTTAAATCACATCGAATCAATAATATTGATAGATTACAGCTGAACAGAATCAACATAAAATAAACTGAATGTCAGAAGAATTAGAAAAGGTAATAGTACAAATTCATGAGTTTATAGTCTCTACTGAGGGCCAGGACAGTAGTAGGCGCTGGACTTGTTTCTTTTGGGCACAGAACACTGGTTATTTGAGGCGAATTGCAATAGCCGCTGCTGTTTGTAGCATGCGGTGCTTCGATGATTTTCGCAATTTATTAGGCACACGGTAGATTATAGAGAAGGATTCTTCCACGCTGGCTTTGTGGCCGGTTTGCACCAGATGGTTTAATATCGAACTGTTAATGGTTTTCACTACACCTTTACTTAGCCATAGTGGGAGATGGTCTCGAGCACGAAAAATCAAGTTCCCAGAGCAACGGTCAATATAACTTGCTCCACAAGCGCAGTTAAGTTGGTAGATACAATTTGAAGTGGCCAGCTAGTCTAGGTACTTCATCTTTCAGTCGAGGTAGCACTATCGGTCGTGTAGAGATAATACGTGTAGTCCAGCCCCTTCTACTGCCCTGGCCCTCAGTAGAGACTATAAACTCATGAATTTGTACTATTACCTTTTCTAATTCTTCTGACATTCAGTTTATTTTATGTTGATTCTGTTCAGCTGTAATCTATCAATATTATTGATTCGATGTGATTTAAACATTAATGTCGTTCATAAGACTAATTCATTCATTCATTATAATGTATACATAATTGTAGAGCCTGGTGATGAAGTTATCGAAAAGAGTACTCTTTGTTCCCTGTCTATTCTTTTAAAAATTTTTAATGGGCATTTTTAATCAGTTAATTTTTAAGAGTAGGATTTTAGGAATTTGATTGATTTCATCACGACTGGGTTCATCCTGTCGTGTGTGAGGACAGATATTTGCCGATGGTATTATGTAACCATATCAGGCAAACTGGCAGGAGTTGGAATCCATGTTTCAGTGGGTTCCAGCTCAGTGGCTGAGTGGTAAAGTGATTCATTTCCTAACCTGTAGGTTTTGAGTCCGATTCGCCGTGGGGTCTGCTGAAACAGCCTTCTAGTGCTCACTGGTTATCAGTGGTTCTCTAACTGATATTTGTTCACAAAGAATGCTAATTTGAATTCGGATGGGGTTCTTGTTGGAAAAAGTAGGTTGCAGTGCATCACTTTATCGATCCAATGCATTTTTATGTAAAATTAGGTACTCATTTAAACAGTACATCATACCTAGATTTTGTCGTGTTTTTTCCAAAAAACTGAATTCCTTCCTGCCGATTGCCTCCAACCATCTAATACCAAACTGAATTCCGCATTATATTTAAGAATAGCAAGCAACTTGTGACAGTACAAGAACTAAATGAGAGTTTCTATGATTACTGGTCAAAATGGATAAGGCGAATGTGAAAACTGACTTTCGTATGAATTGTTTGGAAAAAAACGAACATCCAAAGGCGTTTGGTAAGAATCTTGCTCAGACGGAACCATATATCTCTTAACTCACTTACACTGAAACAACACACACATACACTGTAAGTCCCATCACTGCAGTCAGCGCTCTATTATCGAGATAACATGAACTTGAAAAAAAACCTCACGAAACTCCTAAGTTCTATAAGAATTATCCACTGATGAAAGCATACTATTCGGAAACTGCGCCACTACAGTTATCAACAAGAGAACCGACAATGTCATTACAAAGTTATCAAATAAAGTTTCTCCTTGTTGCCTTGAAAAAAAGATGACAAAGAAAACATATGATTCTGCGTGGAGACGCATTTCAAAGAATTTATTATCAAGATTTACAATGGTGCATATACGGTATGTTAGAAGTTATGTCCGATGAGGGAATTGAATCATAGGTGTGAATACATAATAATAATAATAGTATGAAATGCAATTAAAACTAAATTGTTTGTGATTATAATCATAAAGGGAAAAGAACAAGAAGTCCAGCAAAGATATCTTTTCAGCGACATCATTCTCAAGAGCTGTACAGTCACATTTATATATATTAGTTTACATGGCTACAATTATTTTTTATTTAATTGCACATAGTAACGAAGGAGATAATAATTTTCAACTTGATATGGAAAGTTGAAGGTACGAACATAGATTACAAGCGGCTTAGAGACAAGATTACACAGGATTGAAAAACAGTTAAGACGTATGCAAAATTAATATTTGATAACTGGAGAAATAATAGTTTTAAAGTCGAATAAAAGGGGACAACTATTTTCAACTTGATATGAATTACAAGAAGGCAACCAGCCTTGTCTTACTAACGTCTTCACTTCGAAGGATTCCGTGAGTTTCCCATTGCGGGTTTACTTGGTATGCAGCATTATCTATCGCACAACTGTTGGATGATATTTATAATTGTTGGCAACACCTCGTAGTAGTGAAGCAGTTTCCAAATCGCCTCTTGATCGACGCTATCTAACGTCCTCTATAGAAACCCCAATGTATTATCTACTTGAGACCATAAGTCGTAATTCAGAAGGTATGCATAAATGTGTTAGACTATATACTGCTGATGGATTGAGACGAGTAGTACTGTTTACTGGCTAGCTAGACAGAAATGATCTAAATCCCAAACGGCTGGACAATGATGTGCCCCGTTCGACTCATTTCAGGTGGGCAAATCAATGGAAACAACCCGATTTCTGGTTAGCCATTTCAATCTGGCTAACAAGCATTGCTGGTTAGTCTGATAAGTGTATATCTACTAATAATCTCAGTCAGCCAGTAGTATATAGTTTTCCTTTTTTATATGAAATTTATTATAAACCCAACTAGATGGACTAATATTCATCATTTATTAGCCCTTTCCGATTTCCTACAAACCAATACTTGAATATCAATGAGATGCTCGCTGGAGACTGACCCTATCCAGGTAGGTAGTTACCTGGGGTTCTAGTGGGAAGTCGTGACCAGTAGGGTGCAGTAGGTCACGTGTGAGGACAAATACTTGCCGAAGGCATTGGCTAGCGGTTGCGCTATGTCGTGAATTGGCAGAAGTTAGTTTTCATGGGCCGGCCATTGGATTGGGTCTCAGTGGTTTAATGGTCTATGAGCTAGCTCGCCTTGTAACCAGGAGGGTCTGGGTTCGAATCCTGGCAATGGGTGCATACTGAAGAAGAGTCCCAAGCTAGACTGACGAAACAGCTGTACATTACTCCAGTGGTGGTTTTTCAATAGTTCTCTAACCAATACCTGATCATGATGAAATCTTCTAACCAAAAGAATAATAATTCAAACTTTCGATAGAGAAAGAAAGACCAGATTTGCAGTATAAAATGATATCATTCTATTTCACGGGTTCTCATCATCTGGAAAACGGGTATCCGAATGGATTTATCCTAAAGTACAGCAAAGAAAGAGATGAGAAAGAGCAGTATCCAACAGTTGAAAAGAAGAAAGTGTTCATCTGCCTCCCACACAAAGGAGAAACAGTATCGCAAAAGATTGAAAAGAGGATGAAAGGAACAATAAAGAGATGCTTCCCTGCAGCCAATCTGGTGACACTATACAGTACTACATGCTCTTTAAGCCAATCGAAACTGGATAAATACCCTCCTGATGTTACCTCCAACTGCATTTATAAATTTACGTGCACCTGTGGCAGCAAGTATATTGGAAGGACAGAAAGAAGGGCTTCTATCCGGTTTTCAGAGCATATTCTAAGAAACCTTTGCTTAAAAGGAAGCACATATCTACAAAGTGTAATTACCAGACACCTTGTGGATACGGGTCATTTTGTTGAGATTTCCAAATCCTTCAAAATATTAAACATACAAGAGACAGCGAATCTACTACGATTTGCTGAAGCAATTGCAATCAAACGTCTCAGACCAAACTTATGCACACAGAAAGAGAGTGTAGTCAATCTCTCACTCCCTTGGTAACCATATCACTTTCATTACACTGATTAGTCACACACACTAGTGAGCTCAGCTCACTAAGCAAGTTTTCAATTTGATGAACTTTAACCTTCTTGAGTTGCCATGTTGACGTACAAGCTAACACTGTTTATTAGATTTTTCTGTTTTTTGTTTCTTCTCACCCACCTTTTTTCTTTCATAGTTTGAAAGCATATAAATTGATGGTGACTTAAACTAAAAATTGTAATACTTATATTCTGGATGCGTTCATCTTATAATGTTTTCACTATTACCTTTCAAACATTGAAGTATGAAATGTCATTATTTATAACCATTGTAATTTCAGGTAGTTTGCAGCTGATGAGAACCTGCGAAATAGAATGACGATATCATTTTATACTGCAAATCTGGTCTTTCTTTCTCTATCGAAATTTATCAAGGGAACCAAATGTATGAAATTCGAACTTTATTCTTTTCGAGTAAACAAATCATTTCACCACTAATCATTATCTATTATGTAATTAATTTGTTTATCAATCAGTTTGGTTAGTGGGTGCCAGGTCAAATATACTACGAGATCTTCTATAAACACAAATAATCAGTTTGAATATAAAGGCTGAATCATTTATTTTCTTCTATTTGTTTACGTTGTCATTGGTAATTAAGACAAGAATGAAATATTCAAATTTTGTAAATACTTTCAACCGTTCTGATTTTCCATAGGCTTCATAAATATGAAGGTTTATCAGTATTTTTTCAGTGGATAAGGCAATATTATTCATTTATTTAATCGGTGGTCCAGTGAGAGAATGTTCGTCAGCCACACATGTAGTCCCGAGGTTCAATTCTTGGCTGATTCAACCCTAAATCTCGCCTAGCTAGTAGAAGGTTTGGGAAAGAGGTAAGATTAGGCGTGAGACTAATAATCCCACACGGTGACTCTAAACTACAGTAGCCCAAACCGAAACTACCTAGCAAACGGATAAATGACCTTGACAACGACAACTTTGACCAATCAGAAGCCTCTATAAAAACGGCGCATAATTTGAATAAAACGTTTATATAAAAGTAATGTAATGTTAAAAAATAGTTACAAAGGATAACATTCTCGTATCTGTTCCGAAAAAAACCTCCCAATTTCTCATAGGAGTCTTCATAGTTATGTTAAACCAAGCCCTGTACATAAACTCATCGAGATAACTGTATATCATTGCATTTCTTGATCCATTCACAGATCTGATCCGTTTTTTGAGGTGACTCCAAAAATTTTCGATGGAATTAGTGTGAGTTCCATAGAAAGGATTGATGAAATCATTTGTATGGTTGACGACGTGATGAATATAGCCCAGGGTTGATAGCTGACTATAACTACTCCATTCATCTGTATGAATAGTTGTTCTAGTCAGCACTAAGCGTTGGATAATAGGCAATAAGACATCTGCACTGCGATTAGGGATCGCCTCAATGTATCCTTTGTGGAGGGTGGTGTCATATATCCCCAACACCCACTGCTAATTCGCACTCAATCTACCTCGATTATATTTTCTTTTTATAAGCACTGTCTCATCCACATGAACAATGACGCCAACCCCGCCAAGTACTTGAGTCAGCCTGTTCATTTTCCATGATGTTATGTGTCTGCAGTACTAGTACCACTGCACTGCAGACACTTCTGAATTTTCTGTTTCATACGCTGTTGCTGTTACTGGTCTTTTAAGCACCCAGTTATGACACATCATTAAAATTTTCGTTAGAGATAATTTAGACTTGGCGAAAAAAGTACCTACGGAATCTGTAAACTAAAAAAGAACAGCATACCTTCTCGAACTGACTTTCTGGTTCGGCACTCATCGCACCTGTAAACAAATCCATCAATGCACCTAGTGTATCTTTGTATATTCATGACACCTCCACATTCACACTTTTTCAACCTTCCTATCAGTCTGTTCTCCAAACAGTAATCAAAAACAAGATCTGGAGCGAATTTGCAAAGCAAAAGGTGTACAGCATCCATAAGTACGTCTGGATAATACGGAGTCACCTGATTGGTTGCTCAAGGTCATTTATCCGTTCGCTAGTTAGTTTCAGTTTGGGCTGCTATAGTTTAGAGTCACCTCCCACACTATAGAAACAACAGCATTACTAATGAGAATTTAAAATCCTGAAGCTCTATTTTCCACTTGGAATGCAAGGAATAAAAACACTCGGGAATATCATGTTGTTTAGCTGACACACTCTGGACACAAGCTGTTTTCCTTCTCTTCAGATGATAACATTTACATACTGAAGTTATTATTGTCATTACTGAGTATTTTTTATTCCTTTACGTTCTCAGTGGAACAAAGGGCTTCAAGCTAGAGGCTTGAAGTTTCTGTGTAGCAATGGTGATTATTTTTACAGGATAGGGTTGCTAGCCTCATGCCCAACCTTCCCTATTTACTAGTCTTACTACTGGCTTAGCGAGGTAAAGGAGTGCGTCGGTCGCACGTCATTGATAAGTACTTACCACTATTTTCCAATCAGGACTTCACAGTTATCTGTCTCATCTATGTGGTTTGACCAAGGCGATAGGAAGTATTAGATCTAGGTGTCATGCTTATTGAAGCTCATCAGCAAGAAATACTTGGAAACTGGAAGGAACTAACGGCCCCGCATCACCACCTAGCTGTGAAGCGACACAATTGTCCTCCGGCAGGACTGTAATGAATACCTTGGTTACAAACTTAACTGATACGTAGTGTGCACCATCGACACTTAGGACTACTTACATAACATTGGGTATTCCCTTGAGTCAGTGTATTCTTCGCAGTCCTGAAAAAGGTAAATCACGAGCTCCAGTAGCTGAGTGTTAAGGCCTCTGGGTGGTTTAGGCCCGATTCTTCAAAGGGATATTGATTTATTCGAGGTTGTGAATATGCCCACGCTGACGAGTGTCAACTGACAAAAGCCTGGATCCACGGCTTCCTACTGATCGCCTCTAGATACTTAACATCAATTTAAAACACACCACAATAATGGGTCACCTATTCTGGTGATTGCACCATAAACTTCATTTCTAGAACTCAATCAGTATCAGCAACAATGACTAGAAACACGATATAAGTTACTTCCTAGTGATGAATCACTGGAGTTATTTTTATTTCATTCTTACTCTGAATAGTAGTTAATTATGAATTCAATGAATAAAAATTTATAAAACACAAAATAATTGAGCAAAGAATATCCTTTTCGATAATTTCCTCTTCTGGCTCTACAATTATATACATATATATGTTTATATACATAGAATATTCTAGAATAATAGTCAATAACAATATTAGTTTTTTTTAAATAATATCGATTTGTTAAGTAAGTAAGACCACAATATAATTACAGTTCATTAAAGATACTCAAATAATAATAATAATAAAGATATAATAGCAAATAGAATGTCAACTAAAATTAGGAAAATTCCCCAAGAATTCAGGATCATTCAAACCTAGATGGCCAAGGTAAGGACAATGTCTGAACTAACTTCTTTTGGATGCACAAATAAGGCTTCTAAATGTTGGATCCCAACAGCCTCAGTAATATTTAGTAGACGAACTCTTAAGGCGTAATAAAGATCTGCTGGTGTGCGGCAAATGACCCTGAAAGCCTGATTAACATCAATCTTGTTCTGTATCCACAAGATGAGATAGAATAGCACTACGAATAGATTTTGTTCTTCCTTTACTTCATTAACCACACAGGGTGATGTTCGGAAATTCGACGAGAAACTTTACAAATCGATATTATTTAAAAACACTAATATTGTTATTGACTACTAATCTAGAATATTCTATGTATATAAACATGCATATATAATTGTAGAGCCAGAAGAGGAATTTATCGAAAAGGATATTCTTTGCTCAATTATTTTGTGTTTCGCTACATTATTTAGAATTGGTTAGATGTTGGAATCTTCTCCAGTCACAAGGGAATTCCGTGTTCAATTTCTTGTCGACGAACTCCAAAACCATGCCAGTAGTAAGTCAGGAAAACAGTGAAGATTTAGCGTTAGGCTAGCGACTCTACCTCATAAAGACGACACACACCACAAACACTGAAACTTCAAAGATTGACTCTGAAGACTTCACGTTCAATTCCGAACTCGAGGGAATATAAAAATTTTAGACAATGTTTAGGGATTACTTACTTGACCAAAATACTCCATTGGCACAGGGGTTTCTGATGCAACAGGTTCAGAATTTGAAAAGAGTAAATGATCTAACTGAAAAGTAAAAGGTGAAAGATTTAATCTTATGAAAACATTTTGTAGAATAAATTTAATTTTATGTTTATTAGTTAAATCGTTTGGACATCACTGAACAATGATACTAAGTGTAGCAACTTGGGTTGTTCCCTATACTTACGTAATGATATAATTAATATTTCCTTTGAATACTCTGACGCTAAACTAGGTTTTGAAGGTATTTCTGAAGAAGACAAACCAGTGGATAATTTTATTATGACTGCTCCGTTTGATGTCCATATTTCAGATTTAAATAAGGTGAACTGAAGTGAACAGTGAACGTTAATATTTGCTATTATTCTTCCCTCGGATTCCTAGTGGGACATAAGGTTTCACCAGCACATTACTATTCCTCTCGATTCTGTGCAGTTCTCCTTATCTGGCTCTCAATATGATCTCCTCCATTTCACAATCGTGCCCATATCCAACTCGTCATTTCACATTCAGGTTCCGTTGGAGGGCCTATTCGGTGTGTGATGTCATTCAACCGTCTCCTCAGTGTATGTCCGATCCAACTCCGTTTCTGTCTACATATTTGTTGAACATTTCGTCACTGGTTGGTCTGTTGCCTGAGTTTGGTTTTGCTAATCCCTTCTGGCCAGTTATCTGATCTCCACTATCAATCCAAAGACTGCTGGAAATGCCTTTGGTAAAACACCACGTCTCTGAATCACACAGAAGAAGTAATTTGACATAACGGCTGATAAATCGGATCTTGTTGCTAATGCTGAGTGAAGCAGATTTCGGATGAATGAAGGTCCTTCTTGCTTTCGCAGTCTTGCTTATCTTCGACATCCTCATCTATGCCGCCTGTGATTGAAACGGTGATGCCTGAATCAGTGTAGTGAAAGAGATGACTTCCTTTAGGTTTCTCCCATTGGTGGTCATTGGTTCTTTTAGTTGTTAATGAGGTATATCCATCACCTGAAGTCCTTCCATTCTTCGATGACTGTCCTGTCAACTTACTGATTTTCGCCTGTAAATCTTCCAGTTTATATGGCTTGGTACACAAATCATCCACTAAGACCAGGTCTTTCGGTATCTTTTTGTCGGATCATTGTATTCTCATCTTCTCTCTCCCTATAGACCACGAACCGAAAACTATTTCAAAATCTTCCTATTCCATCCCCAGTACTAATGTTTCAAGATAAGAAACGGATAGAACTTTTGGAAAACAGAAAGATTGGGCGAAGAAATATTTACTTTTCAATTAGATCCTCATCTCTGGCTCTACTCTAATATATATAGCATTTTTATTACAATAAACAACAGTTTACCAACCAAGTGGCACTCATATGTTTGTTAACAATAATTAGCCAATGGGTTGATTAACTCCAGAACAATTTCGAGATTAATCTTTTCAATTTGTGTTTTGTTCCATCATAACACGTGCAGCGCATGAACACCCTTTTAGGGGATAGGGGAGTGTTGAAGACGCACAGAAACCAAGTTTCTGCATTGTCTGGTTAAAACAGCACGAGCTGAATAATGGTGCTAGTTGGCTGGATATAAATTAACTTAGTTGTGTTATCACACATAGTAAAAAGGACTTAAAATATAGTAAATATAACAAGAAAACAAATACAAAATTAGAAAACAGAAAGATTGAGCGAAGAAACATTTACTTTTCAATTAGATCCTCATCTCTGGCTCTACTCTAATATATATAACATTTTTATTACAATACACAACAGTTTCGTTTAAAAAGATCCAGCCATTCCATGTTAACTTCCCGTAAATAAGACATCCTCAATGAAACGTAGAAATTTTGAGTTAACCTAGTATTCTAATGCAAACTTAACTGGAAGTCAAAATTCAGTTTCTCTTCGTTCTTTGCGTTTCAAGTAGAATATAGGAATTCAAGTTTGAAGTTTCAATCTCGGCGGTTTTGTCTTTTTACAAGATGAGATTTTTGGCCTTACACTTAACCTTCTCCCCTGCCCCATGCTCACTACCACCTAATAAACCAAGCAAGGTTTAAGACCATATGAACCGGGATTCGAACCCCAGGGCACATACATGGTAAGCGAGTATTCTACCATTGGACTACCGACTCACAACAACCAGTTTCCTCCTTTCTTAATAAGTTTCACTGCATACAGATAAGAAACACCAATCGTTGACTGTAATACACCGTCTCTTAGGCTTGTCAGTTCCTACCTCTTTCGTACTCATCAGTTAGATTTACTTGCAGTTCCAGTGAGCGACTGTTTTCCCAATGAGACTCAATACCTGCACCCGCCATTTCAAACTCTACTGCGTCAAGGCAGCCATCGGTAGTATATTGGATTAAACAGATGCTCACTGGGAATGCAGGTAAATCTTGATGACAACTCCAAAATAGGACAAGATAGATATCCTAGATTCCACTGGTAGTCACTACCAACCAATCAAAGACTGCATTATGTTAATCCTCAGACATCGTAAGAAACATCTGTAATAAGAGTCAGTATATATCAACAGGGAACAGACATTTCAGTCTAAAATAATGAATCACTAGGGAAATACAAAATTAAATTAAACACATTCTTCCATAATTGTCTACAATTTTGATAAATATATATATATATATATATAATGCATTAATAAGCATGCACTTTTTGTGAAATTTTCTATGTGAACTGAAGTGAAGAGAAGTGATTTTAGGAGTGATGGACAGTCTGGATTAGACAAATAAGGAAAAGATTCTGTGTAAACAGAACAAGAGAATGCGTAACAAGTAACGAAAGAAAGAAAAATTATGCTGATAATTAATTAGTAAGTAGAAGATGAAGAGATAGAGTGAAAGTCAGTCTTCTATTTTTTTTCTCTCGTATTTTTAAGCTTTCATTTAAACTACCTGTCTGTTTTTGACTGATATGTTCCAGACAGGGGAAATTTCTGGTTTATATAATTCAAATATTTCAAAATAAATGTATTTTTTATTTCATCCTTATTACTGTATGTAATCTTTGTCATAATAATTTCAAGTAGTGACAAAATATGCATTCTGTCATTTGAAAGGAGCCTTTCAGGGAATAAACTTTTAAGATGGATTCTATCACGAAGAGACTTCACTTTGAGAAAGGCATTCACATACCTACAAACTCACTACTCAGATAGGACAAACTATGTAGGCTAAAAGACCCGGTGGACCCAATTAAACAAGTCAAACTAGTAGATTGGGGATAATTAGATTGTCGGAACATAAGAATTTAGCTAAGGTAAGAATGGTTGACCCCGAAAAGATAAGTAATTTAGAAAAAAGCTCAGCAATTGCACTACATGCATTAACACAAAACCACACAATAGGGTGAGAGAGGGTTAAGATTCTAAGAAATAATCTATGTAGGTGGAGAGAGAGAGATTGATTACTGAATCCCACCTGGTTCATCGAGTCTACACGCAAAACATGCAGAAGAAGTGACTCAACGCAAATACCAGAGATTTGGAAGGTATTATTACCACCAGTCAGTCAAATCAGAGGAGGATAATAAATAATCTTAAAATTCTATCTCAATTCATATACATCATAGCATTCTAACAAGTTACTTATTTTGACTATAAAAACACTCATCTTATTTCCCATCTAATTGTAATGGATTAATAACACTCGTACTATTATTTCTGAATGTACATTATCTCATATTGAATTTTATTCCAATATCTAATGGATTCCACTCATGTATATAAATGAAGCAAGAAAGTTGTGTGAGTAACTTGATATGATTATGAGTGGCAATAATTTGTGCTCGAAACGTGGTCATCAGTTAATATTACTGTAGAACACTGTGTGATTTATCAAAATAAAATCTTATCATATAATGGAGTTATACTCTACCACAGTGCCCAAGTTTTATACTTATATCAGGAACCTCCTCTTTGAGAATACGTGAGTCACTGAATATCTTCTTATCTCAAGGTCCTGAGTTTTATTCTTGGTGGAGTCATGGCAAAAGATGTGTCCATACTCTTGTTCATTAAATGATTGCCAGTTCGTGATGCAGCGTAAATTAAAATCAAAGCAGGAATTTGTTAAATGTCTAGTGGTGCGATCTGATTGTGATTTAATTTGAAACATATATATGTATATTCATTTGGTGCTTCAGTAGTACGGCGCTTAGGACACTCACCGACCATACACATGGTCCGGGGCTCGATTCCCGGCCGACGTACTCCTTTACCTCTCTAAGCCAGTAATAAAGCTGGTAAACAGGAAAGACTGGACATGAGGCTAACAACCGCATCCTGTAAAAATAATCACCATTGCTACAGAAACTTCAAGCCTGCAGCTTGAAGCCCTGTGTTCCACTGTGAACGTGAAAGAATAAAAAAATATATAAATTCACTTGAGAAGAATTCATGAAAGAGTGTCTGTGTTATTTATCCTTCAAGAAGCAGTTAATTATAATTATTGAGATTAAAGTTTTTATTATGTGTTATGGTGTTATAGCTTAGTCATCGGTACAATGAAAACAATCAAAATACCTGCCTAACTAGAAAGTTTGAGTACATTTATAAATCATATGAGTACAGAATAAAGAAGGAAGAAAAGTAGAAATTCTACTGACCTTTAGCAGTTTCACTTTTTCACAAGATAAATTATCACTTTTCTCATATTTCTCATGCTCCTCTTGTAAATGTGAAATCTGAAATAAATGTGGAATTATAAATACACGATCTTCCATGAAACTACAGTGAATGAGGACAATCAGATAAAAATTATTTACAGGTTTGTTCGCAGGTTACCACTTAGAGAATCATCGGAAAACCTGGGAGTACTGGACGTCTGTTTAATCCTTCTTTGAAATTTCATGACCCCTTGGGTTGGATCCCAGTGGCTTAATGGTATATTAGTTCGCCTTATACCTGAAAAGTCCTAGATTCTGACTGTCTTAGTGAGTGAGTACTGATGAAGATTCTCCAACTAGGGCGAAACAACTGTCCGGTAATCCCAGGTTTCACAATGATTCTCTTTTTGAAGTCAGTTCGTGAACAAACCTGTTATCAGTCAACTCCCTGCAAACCAACACGTGTTAGGGAAAGATTAGTCAGGATTTTGAAAATCGATATGATGAAGAACATTGAATATACCTGTGTAATTATGAACAATCTTCAGCCATGTCATTGCAAATATATAATATTTAGATCATATCAACTAGTAGAACTTGCCAGCTTGTTTAAAGTCATCCAAATACCGGGCGACCGTTTCGCTTGCTTAGTACCGACCTCGTCAACTGTGTAAATTACAAATCACAAAATTATTTGGAAATTATGAAGTTGATTCATCTGCCCAAGTAGCTAGCCATAATTAAACTGATTCGAACTGATTCCTCGCTCCAAGCTGATCCAAACTGGGTATACCGCCAAACGATAGATACGGCGTTTTCAGATCACTCTGATGTAGCCAGTCAGCAAGCGCTTTTGATTTATCTGAGTGATTTCCAACTACTCATGTCAGTCAATCAGTAATATATAGCTCCGCCAACTAAAAATCTTGTCAAGAAGGACAAGCTACACAGCTCAGAAGATACAGTCACATTAAAAAAAACACCCATGTGAACTACAAATGCTTTTTATTGCCTTAAAGGGTCATTGTGGGCTTTTGAAATTCAAACAAAAGAGTTGAGAAAAAGAAACCATGTTCGAATGACTTAATTTCGAACAAATGCCTATCAGCAGTCATTCAGTAACTCCTTTCTACATTAAATCGTCTCTTGTGGTGAACAAGAAATAGAGAATATGAAAGAAACAATCTCGTGGTGTACTTAAAGTCCAACATGCCTGTCCTATAGTTCCTTTTTCATTCTTTTAAGTTCCAAATGAAACAGAGAGGTTTGAGCTTTATTATGGGGGTGGGGGTCTATAGCCTCAGGCTCAATCTTCCTTTCCTTCTGGAGTTATTATTAACTAGTAAGCTGGTCGAGACTCAGTATTGCTTCAACCAGGAGTCGAACCTGGATTATTTACATGAATAACGAATTTTCTACCACCAAACCACCAACACAATTCACTCATTGTTCCCTAATTAAACTTTCAATGGAAAGTGAACTTCAAATCGTCTAAATCGACCTGGAATTTTACCATCCAAGGAGTGAGAATCATCATTTGCATAACGATGAACTTACTTCAGATAAAAATCCAGTTAATGTTTCAGACACTGACGGATTATCAAGTGGATTACTGACATAGTTTGTTGTATCATTCCAAAATTCATAAGTGATACCAGTAAAAATTAAACACCTAGAAAATGTACAATAAGATGATGTTCACAAAACACTACTAACAAAAAAATAGAAAGTAGTGTAGGAGGTCGAATATTTCTATGATAAAATTTAAAGCCAGTCTTTTAAACTGTGTCACTCACTGATCAGTGAATAATATTCAGAAACAGATCTTAGACGTCCGATTTGGGAGCTAATTTATTTAGTCCTTACTCGATTTTAATCTTGTTATTTTAACAAGACAGAATCAAGGAAGTATTTAGTAACTGAGCTTGAAGCAGCACTATGTTATGTACTACTGATTGACTATTTTGACTGAGCACTCTGCTACGCGGCTTGCCATCAAAATGGCCTCTAAACTGTTGTTAGATAGCCGGAGGCAGTCGGCAGGAAATCGAGCATCTAGGTTTGATGTTTGTTGGCAACTGTCAGCGAGATGTGTCTGTGACCTCGATGAGATTGATATCCCTTCTAAGACTTGGATCACCCAACGCTATAATCATAGACGTTACCACTGAGCTATTTGGGCTGGGGATTTACCGCCTATAGAACTATAACGGATACTTTGACTGAATACAAGGTAATAACTGATTTCATGCGTCTAGTCGTTTGGTGCAGGTTGATTGATCTGTCGATATGGTTAGTTGGATTTCTGTCATATCAACTAACAGTAATTGTTGAACAATCGGGTCAAATTAGCATAAACGCCGGAGGGACTTTTCTATCGATTGAAACTGAGCTCAACACCAGTGTACCTAGTCTGGCTCCTTTGATTTGGATTGGAATGTAGGATTTCAAAAGTGCATCTCGACTTCATCTTGTTCTCAGCAGTCCACTGTCCGTAAGCTACTGTCTCCTTCCCCGCACGATTTATTTCATGTCATGCTTGGATGCCCAACCAGCCGTTTCATATTCAGATTCGATTCAAAGGCCTTCCGCGTGATGTCACTAATTGCTCTCCTCAGCATGTGGCCGATCCATCTCCATTTTTTTCTACATATTTGTGGGGAAATAGGTTCTTTGTCGGTTTGTTGCGAGAGTTTCCTATTACTTATCGTTTCTGTCCATTTGACCTTCGGTATGAAGCCAGAGAGGGTAGCTGTCGGTATAATTGTGAAGCGTACAGAAGTACTGACTGAATTAACACTGGTGTTGGAGGTTCGAACTTTGTTCTTTATCCTGACTGCAGCAGATTTACACAGTGATTATAGGTTAATGTAGGTTTGCCTTGCCTTTCCGATTCGTCTGGCTTCGACATCTTCATCCCTGTTGCCTGTAGTGCGAAATGATGCTTTTGCTGCTTCTTCTGCCAATTTGTTGGTTTTTAGTTGTACTAACGGGTGGGACGTTTGAAAATCATCTACATTCACGGAGAAAAGTGTTTTGACAATTATAATCTTACTAATCTTCTTTATATATGCATCATATCCTGTTCATTCTTACTCAGTGATGGCTGAAAGATCCTAGAGCAGGACGTGATAACTACAGAGTACTCTTCAGCTGTTTCCTAGCTGGTGTAGATCTGTGATATGAGCTGGTATGATTTTATATTATCAGTTTTCTATAAACTTTACAAGTGAATAACTTGAATAACTTTGGTGTACTCTATAATTTTTAATCATATTCAATAACTAACACTTATTATTATTGTTTCCTTTAATTCCTAGAGGAACATAGGGCTTCAGCCACTCGTCTTCATTGCGTTTGGTTCTCTGCTAGAGTATTCACCTGGCTCCACGTCTGTCCACACGCTTTCATCTCCTCTTCACATGATCTCCTTCATGTCATCCTTGGACGACCAACTCGCAGCTTCCCTTTTGGGCTCCACTCGAGCGATGGCTTGTCTAGTGATGTCACTTGATGGTTCGCTCTCTCAGAGTATGGCTAATCCATCTCCATTTCTTCCTGCATATTTGTTTCACAATCGGTTCCTGGTTGGTTCGCTCCCAAAGATCCCTGTTGCTGATCTTTTCTGGCCGGCCATCTGATCTTGATTAGTATTGAGCGAAGACAACTGTTAATGAAGGTCTGTAGTTTGTTTGAGATGCTCTTTATGACGCGCAGTGCAAGTCTCTGATCCGTATAGTAGCAGTGACTGACTTCACATTGGAGTTGAAAATCCGGATCTTATTTTTGATGCTGAGTGCTGTTAACCTCCACACAGACTTGAGAGTAGTGAAAGTTTGTCTTGCTTTTCCGATTCTTGCTTTGATATCCTCGTCAGTTTCACCTGTAGTTGAAACGATGCTTCTCAGGTAAGTAGGCAGGTGAAGGAGGTTGCTTCTTTCAGGTTCTTCCCATCTATTCTGATTGTTGTTGTTCTTGCTGTTAACCGGGAATCTTCATCATCTCTGTTTCCTCCACGTTCACCTGAAGTCCTATCTTCTCCGGATGCTTCTTCTGCCAACTTTTTGCTTTTCGCTTGCATATCTTCCAGTTTGTGGGAAATCAGACATACATCGTCGGCGAAGTCCAGATCCTCCAAGCTTTTTGTGTGAGTCCATTTTATGCCTGTTTCCTCATTGCTCACTCTTTGTCTCATTATCCAGTCTACTGCAATCAGGAAAATCATTGGCGATAGTAGGCAGCCTTGTCTTACTCCTGTCCTCACTTCGAAGGATTCCGTAAGTTTCCCGTTGTGGATTACTTGGCATGCAGAATTTTTGTACAGCTGTTGGATGAGATGTATAATCGTTGGTGGTACCCCTTGGTAGTAGCGCAGTAGCCAAATCACCCCTCGATAGACGCTGTTGAAGGCCTTTTCAAAGTCGATGAAGTTGAGATAGAGAGCTGACTGCCATTCCAGGCTCTGTTCAATGATGATCTGTAATGTGGCGATCTGATCAATGCATGACTTGTTTCTCCTGAATCTAGCCTGTTCCGGTCGAAGTTTTTCATCCAGGGCGTGTTTGATCCCTTCCAGGATGATGCGGCTTAGTATTTTGCTTGAGATGGACAGGAGCATAATTCCGCGCCAGTTCTTGCATTGACTCAAATCTCCTTTCTTTGGTAGTTTGAATAAGTATCCTTTCTTCCAATCCTCAGGTACTTTGCCTTCTTTCCACACTAACGCTGGCTTATTTCATATAGTCATCTCAGGCTGATGCCACAAACTTCGTGATTGAATTGCCTTCACTGATTGCTGAAGATTGGATAGCAACAAGGAATATTCTTAGGCAACGAACCAACTAACAATTTACTCTCCAAAAATATGTATCAGTTTTGATAATAGTTTACAGAGACTTGTAAAAAGATTTGTCCAGTGTTTAATCCCACTCACGGTCTAACTGTGGTTTCGTCTGGTCACTTTGCTCTCAGCTAACATACTGTGTACAGAGTAACAATGTACCGTAGTTAAAGTTTACTCTAAGCCAATAATCTTATCACGGTTTATCTATCATTCCTAAATATTTGAAATTTCCTTAGTTTCTGATAATTTGACTAGCTGCAATTGTCAGTTTTGTTCTATATTAGAAACCTTACAGTCACTGAATAACAACTAAACCGTGCTTGTCCCTGGATAAGTTCGTAGGTGGTTCAAATGCCACCCTAATTCCTGCCTTATCTAGAATCACTTATAGGCTTTCAGATGTTCCCTAAACATATGGTAAAACTGCAATTGCCTTAAATTCTCTCTTGTGATTATATTTAGTGGTATCATTACCTTCCCAATGAATTTAATGATATAGTTATCTAGTACTAATACCTTCTCTGTGAAACTGTCACCCACATATCTCCACCATACCCTTTGAGAGAGGTTTAAATATTCCACGGACCATATTTTCCAAAAAGACACCTACTATGAATGAAGATATATAGGTGACGCCATTGCTACCTTTTCTGCTTGTCTATCTATTTCACCCTGGAATATAAAGATAGTGGATGTAAGGCACAATTTGACCCCTATGATAACCGTAATAATAAGCTTCAAACTAAGGAGAAATAAATGCTTAAACACCGTTTCATTTACAGTTAATTATCAAGAGTTATGGAAAGCTGTCAGCAAAGAGGATACTAATTTAAAGACTTACACGTTTATATTCACGCGTGATGACCAATCATATAACTGTACCAGTGATTCAATTACTTTATTTTTTGCCAGATCCGTTTTACAGAAATGATTCTCTTTATAGTCACATACAATTTGCAAAGATACAATCTATCGATGATAAGGGAAAGTAAAAAGGAGATGGAACTACCGGCAAATTGGTAAAATAACTTTAGGCACTTATGAATACATACAGTGTGTAATCACATTTAAATAGGGTATTCAAAAAGGGGGGTTACTGCTAGATGATATCATTTTGGTGTATAGTGACTAGCAGTGGAATCCAGAAAGTGCATTTCATCTTTCTTGAGACTCATCATCCGGATGTGACTTGTTATGTACTTGTTGCCCAGCTGTATGATGTCGTTACCAACTGATACGGTTGAGTCGACTTATTCGTGAGTATAATAACATTGTGTGCAATGGACAATTCAAGTGACACGCTAAATACGCCTGTTCTTCCATAGTACCTTTCGCTTCACTGAGCCACGTAAATATTAGACTAAGATTGGCCTGTGACTGTTAGGATACGAATACCGAAGAATTATCCACCAAACCACTAGATCCACGAAATTACTTGATGTTAATTCCCAGAAATCGTCGATGCGTTCATATTGGGAGGAAACTTGTCAGCAGATAAACGATTCACAAAAACAGTTTATCTGCAGTCATCTTGGTGAATACATGTACAGAAACTAGTCTAACTTAGCAACTGATACTCCTCGTTACAACTGGGACGTATTTTTAAGCCATGTCAGAGAAAGATAACCTGTTTAATGCGTTTTCAAGCATTTTCTTGTCAATATACATCATTTTTGAGCAAACATTTCCCATTTTTATGATTGGTCAGCTGAAGGTCACTCGTGCGTTCGCACTCCTGGGACGCTAATGTTGAACTCTGCCCTACCAGCTAGGTGAGGTTTAGTAGTGCGCTGAATCCCTTGAGTGATTGGGGGACATTTTACTACTGAACCACTGGCCCACAGGATGCACAAATATTTCGAAGCAGTAGGTCAGTTAAATAGCTGAGCACAGAACTCACCGCCTGCACCACATTTCACTTTGTCAAATAGTGGTACCTCAGAAGAAACATATGTGTGTCGGCAAGCAATCAAGGAAACACTGTGACACACGAGATAAGCGAGTAGCGTGAGTATACACACAGACTGTCACAACGGCTTGTGTGGACTGCTAGTCCCAAGAGTCGTGATTTTCACTCATGGATTTGTGGATTTTGGACCTAGTATGCTTCCACTGCACCACTGTGCTCACTAGTATCAATAGTTTCTAACATATATATATATGTATATTTCATACACTTATTCCCCTTAATGAATTTGAACAAAGCAAGAACTACAGTTTTAGCGGAATAAAATGGTACCATCTTTTATTTCGTTGCCTTCTCATCAGCTGCTCACAGGGCAAAGACATTATTAAATGTATCTACAAAAACAATTTTAACATACTTGCACAGAGTTCATTTTAAACAAAAATCAGTCGATCAATGTACGCATACACTAATAATATATACATATATATGCCATATTAAACATCGCCATCGCCAGGCATCTCCTCGACACACGTCATGAGCTGGACGTCGAAAGTCGTTCGAAATTATCAATGAGCTCAGTTCTTCTTAAGTTTGCTGAAGTCATTTCATCAAGCGCCTGAAACATGATTTATGCGTCCAGAAAGAAGCCGTTATCAGTCCTGCTTTACCCTGACAACTGGATATTTTTCATCCGAATGCGAAATGCTAAAAAGTTTTCATTGCGTATGATTATTATTGTTCGGAATAGTGTTTAATATGGCATATATATGTATATATTATTAGTGTATGCGTACATTGATCGACTGATTTTTGTTTAAAATGAACTCTGTGCAAGTATGTTAAAATTGTTTTTGTAGATACATTTAATAATGTCTTTGCCCTGTGAGCAGCTGATGAGAAGGCAACGAAATAAAAGATGGTACCATTTTATTCCGCTAAAACTGTAGTTCTTGCTTTGTTCAAATATATATATATATATATTACTGCAATCAAGGCTCAACTTATCGCAAATTAGAAATCAATTCTTGACCAAGAGTGATATTCATTAAAACGTTATCATAAGGAAAGGCTAAATAATACAAAGTGCCTCAAACAAAACAATGACCACAAATTATTCAGAGTAAAGTATTTTGTATTATAATGAAAACTCCTAGAAAAGACATCTAGTAAACACCTGTTCATCAGTTGAAAACTGCTCTCACACTACTGAGCAGACATAGAAGATAAACTGAAGGGATAATGTCTGGAACGGCACTCTTCAATAGTACACATCCACTAGAGTTCTAACCCAGGATCTTCCGAACATACAACAGAAACAACTAACTGTCTATTACTGCCTGGTTTTTAGTATATCTCCAACTGATGTCAGCTGATGATTAGACTTGAAACAAATCGAATCCCTACAAACGAGCTCTTTAAAAAATATCATTTACTGTAAAGTATTCTAGTAACTTTTCTCAAATGCAGTCTTCTGTCACTTCTTTGCTTTCAGAGTGGAACACCGGACTTCGAACTTGAGCTTTATATTTATAGTAGTATTGATATCTTTTACACAGTGGGGTTGTTAGCCTCACTCTTAAACTTCCGTCTTTAGCGAGGTTTCCAGAATGCATCGGCTGGGAATGGGACTCTAATTATGTGGTATGTTAGGTGGATATTCTGCCAATGAACTACTGACAGACTATTTAACTAAAGGATAAACTGTTAAATGACAATGAACTTACCCAAGGTTTGTTTGGCTGTAATAGGTCTAGTGAATCGAAAGCCTCCTTAGAAAATATTGGTCCTGCTGTTAAACAGAATACAAGAAATAACAATAGTATTTAAATTATAATGGAATATATACATGTATATAATATTTAAATGAGAAATAATTCAACTACTCTTGTGTAAGTAAGTTATGTAGACAGTGGTTATGGAATTTATCAAAATGGTAAAATAAAGATGCCACAGATAAGTGTTAAAAGCCTTATTACAGAGGAAGATAAATTAAATGTAATTTAAGTATTGGTTCGTATGGATTTGATTGATTGGTTACAGGATTTCATCATGAGCTGACATTGGTTAGAGAACTATTGAAAAACCACCACTGGAGTACTGGACAGCTGTTTCGCCGGCCTAGTTTGGGACTCTTCAGCAGTGCTCACCCACCGCCGAGCTAGCTCGTAGACCATTAAACCACTGGGAACCGATCCAATGACCAGCCCAGGAATTTTAAATTCTGCCATTTCACGACATGGCCTTGTAACGAGGAGGTCCTCGGTTCGAACCACGGCGGTGGGTGCGTATCGCAGAAGAGTCCCAAACTAGGCTGACGAAGCAGCTGTTCAGTACTCCACTGGTGGTTTTCCAATAGTTCTCAAAGCCAATGTCAGCTCATGATGAAATCCTGTAAATGTGATTTATTCAGTCATCTGCAAGCTATATTCTCACGAATAAGTCAGCCAGTGCAGTCACTAAAGTGCAAAAGACTTCATGAACATCAACCGACAATAGGAAGATGTGGTGCTTCAACTTTCATAGGGAATATACATATATATATAGTTATCTTTTGGTGTACAAAATTTAGGTCAGGAAGAAAACTTCTAAAAGTCTATGTTTTACACATCACAGACCCAATCTACAATCAACTCAGGAAGAAAAGCAGTTTCATCCTTCAGCTAACTGAGTGAAGGAAAATCAATAAAATAGATAAAATAATGAAGTGTGACCAAGAGGATCAGCTATTACGTGGATAAGTCAATAGGTGGCACAGCAGTTAGGAGTCTTGCTGGCCATGTACATGGTCCAGGGTTCGATCCCTAGCCGACACACACCTGATATCAATTGGATGGCCTGCAAAATATGGGCTACCGATATCACATGCTGAAAATTCCATACTTGTATCAATAATACGGTGTGGAATCAAGCTATAATCAAATAATGGCTACAAGGTAAAAATGAAATCTGCTCCCTCACTTCAGCAGAGTTGAACAAAGAGAAGAAACAGGAAACTTAAATGTTCGTACAGCTTGGAAATACACTTCATTTCCTAATAAAATGAATGTTGAAGATGTTACCAGGTTTGATAGTAAAACATTCACACTTAGATATCAGAACTGGGAGAATATCAAACAATTCGCAGAGTTATGTAATGTTCACAAGAGTGTATTGCACGTGAAGACGTACGTGTACATGATGAACAGAAACTTTGCATAATATGCAATAAAATATTGATGGACTGTAGTAGATTCAGTGAATGGGAACATCTTTTATGATTGACTTACTGACTACATGAAAGATTTATCAATGAAGCCGTATTCTAGAGCAATTTAAGTTGACATAGGTAAAATTTATATTTTTGAAATCTCAGAGAAACTGAAATATCAAGTATAGGTTTGCAAGGATTTGATTGGCTACAAGTTTGATCATTAGTTTATATCACTTAGAGAACCACTGGAAAATCTAGGAGTACTAAACAGCTGTTTCATCAGCCTAATTTGAAACTCTTCATCAGTACGCACCCACTGCCAGGGTTCTAACCCAGGACCTTTGGGTTACTAGGCGAGCTTATGCAAACGAATACTTAATACATAATTTGATGCTCACATTCGACTATCTCTATACAGGGAGTCACCTGGGATTCAAGTGAGAAGTCGTAACCAGCAGGGTCCAGTATGTCAGGTTAGAGAACAGTTACTCGCTTATGACACTGGCTGGCAGTTATGCCATATTATTCGTGAATTGACAGAAGTTATAATTCACTGACTGTCGGGTCGAGTCCCAGCAGCTGGAGAGTCTACGAGCTCACCTAGTAACCGGAAGGTTCTGGGCGCAAACTCCATAGGGGTGTACTTCTGAAGAAAATGAAATAAATAATTCCAAACTGGTCCGAATTTATTTTGGGGGAATAAATCAAATTAAAATAATAGTCGTAATATAAATCCTTGTCCAATCATGGGAGTAATGAATGGGTAGCAGAACAACATTGCATGAATTGTAATCAGTCAGTGTGAACCCAATCTTTTTATTATTATTATTAGTCTACTTTTGTTACACACTGTAAACTGTGTGTACTTTTACATCAGACTTAAATGATCACGTTTGACTGAAGTTCATGGTCATAGCTAATTGAATATGAAAATATATATGTATTCCATTTACAATGGTGTGTGTCTGTGTGCGTGGAAAAACAATTGTAAATCATTTGTTAGCCTCTCTAATAAGAAGATATAATCAGTCGGGAAAATAGATTAGACATGAATAATTAATAGTACATATCCATCTTCTTTATTGGTTAGGAAGTGCCATTTATCAGCTAACGTCACGTCAAGCTTCGGAATTAACCCATATATATATATATATATATATATATATATATATATATATATATATATATATAGGGTTCCAGCAGTCAGTCTGTCTTTAAATGAACCAAAATCTTTCTCTGGGACCTCTGTTCTGTCGATACTCAGGGGTTAGAAGCAATCAGCAGAAAACCTTGAAGCTATGTTTCGTGCTAGTTGGCACTCGTAAGCAAGGCGTATCTGTAACCTCGAAGGAACTCATGTCTTCTCTGAGACTCAAACCCTCATCACCCAGTCCTTCCTGCAGTCAGGGACGTTACCACTGAGCTACATGGACTCGTGATCGACCTCTTGTAGGACTGTATTGGATACTTTGATTAAACACTAGTTAGGAACTAGTGTGTTGTATCTAGCCTTATGTTTGGTGCAGACTGAAATCTATCAGTCAAGTTGGCAATGTAGCCACCATTTTAGGTGACTTGCTATCACGGTACATTTTGAACTATTGATATTAGATGATTGGAGGCAATCAGCTGAAAGCCTTGATAGACTGGTAGAAATCAATATGCAACAAACAAAAGACTACACATTAGACTATATACTAACTAGTGTCCATTCAAAGGAAACTTGGTTCTCTATAGTTGGTTTGTAAGGGTTAGTTTTGTTCTTACGAGTTGATCAAGGATTGATATCAGCAAGAGAACCACCGAAAACCAGAAATGGTGTACTGGAAAGCTGTTTCGTCCTAGTTTTGGACGCATCGACTGTACTCATCCACTGCGGTTCGAACCCAGGACCTTCCGGTTACAAGGAAAGCCCCATTCAATGGCCCATGAATTCTAAATTCCCCGAATTCGTGATTTAGCGCGACCACCAACCAATGTCGTCGGTGGGACATCCATCCTCATACTTGACTGGTTGAACCTCACTGGTCACAACTTCTCATTCGAACTCCAGGAAACTCCGTCCTGTAACAAGTCACTAGCAAGCATCAGATTAATTTTCTATAGCTGGTTTGTAAGGATTAGATTGGCTTTTACGAGTTAACCACAGATTGATATCAGTGAGAAGTTTCCTGGAGTTCGAATGAGAAGTTGTGACCAGTGAGGTTCAACCAGTCAAGTATGAGGATGGATGTCCCACCGACGACATTGGTTAGTGGTCACGCTAAATCACGAATTCGGGGAATTTAGAATTCATGGGCCATTGAATGGGGCTTTCCTTGTAACCGGAAGGTCGTGGGTTCAAACCACAGTGAGAGAGTACAGCCGATGCCTCCCAAACTAGGACGAAACAGCTTTTCAGTACTCCAGTTCTGGTTTTCAATGGTTACCTAACTGATATCAATCGGTGATCAACTCGTAAAAACTTGGTTGTGTTAAAGTCAATCTTGTATCCCATTTGTATAGAGTCTATTGCAATCGGTGAATTGTTTTCTAGCTTCTTCAGGTCTAAAGAGGTCTTTGGTACTACCTTTAGTATCTTTAACTCTTACATTCACGTATCTGATTGTTTCTTATAAATATACAGGATCAAAATTTATGTGGCATACGCGATTTTATTGATTGCCTTCTTTTAACATATCCTTAATCTTCACTAGTAATGAGCGTTAGGTGTTATTTACACGGAAATACACTCTTATGTCATGACTGTTAAGAATTCGCCTTATTTCATCTGATGTTTTTTTAGCAATATAGACTCGTCAAAGTAGCAACCAAATTCTTAACGGTGGGTTTTGATGCATCCTTATCTTCACTTTTTAAATATTTTCTAATAAAGGCTTATTTGATTCAAGACTAGGCTGAACTAATTTCAATCCCTTGTTGTTGGTCTCTTCTTCCTGAGTAACTAGACATTTGGCTCTGTTAGTCAGATTCGTAGGGAGATATGCCAAACTGTAATCCAGGTGTTTGCCTGAATGTGTAGGCCTTCTGAAGATAGTGTTATTTGGTTTACCATCTGGTTGCCTCTTGATCAAATAGTCCAAAAAAGTCAAATCATCTGCGTTGGATTAAATCCCTCTTCAAAACTTAATGACGTTCGACACACTGTTTATCAAATGAAAAAGTTCATTCAAAATACTGCGTTTGATGATAACAAAGTTATCATCCACATAGATCGCTTCATGTTTGCATTTGTTTATAATGAGTGCGCAAACAGGTCGGGTACTAAGGAAGACATCGGAGGTCCGATAGTAATCCCTGTTTGAAGGTGAAGAACCTCGCTAAATGTAGATAACTTGGAGAGTATACTTAGCTTCAATGCCTTCATAATTTCATCTGGCTTTAAATGGCATGGAATGCTGAGTTCTTTGTCAGAACAAAGTTAATTATACATAATACTTAAGAAATCTGTAATGGGAATATTCGAGAATAATGAATAAACATTGAAACTTGTAATTATTTCATCTTTTTAAATATCAGTAAAAGTAATTTTGCTCTTAAATTCATATGAATTCTTCACTCTGCATCCCGCTTTCTTTTCGTATGAACTTAGTATTCGTGAAATGTATTTGGAGAGATTTTAGATTGGAGAATAAGTAAAATCCACAATATGACGTGATGAAACATCTGGTTTGTGTATTTTTCGTAATCAATAAAACTATATGCATATATATATATATTTCGACGTGCTCATGCTTAGTCGACTGTACTATCATAAATATTCAAAATTGGTGGGTTTGTATAATCTATGCCAGTGGGTAAATGTTTAATGTGTTTGCCTTGTAACCTGAAGGTTCAAATTCCGAGCTCTAGTAGAAGGGGGTTATAAGTGCATACTGATGAGAAGTCCCAAACCAGGGTGACAGAAACAGTTGTTCAGCAACTCCCTCTAGTTTCTAATGGTACGGCAACTGAAATGAGTTCGTAAACAAACTTGAGATGAACCAAATCCCCGAGAACCAATACTTGAAGCTTCATTCATTCATTCACACACGCGCAGTTGAACTCAATCTAACACAAGAAGCTGTATAGTGTTTAAAGTGTCTTTTCGTGTTGTACATATCAATTTTTGTATTGAAAAGGAAATATTTCCCTTTAATGTCCTCAAAGAAAATGACGAGTGTCACAGGTGATATTAACACAATCTTACATTTAATGCAGTTTCAGTGAAAACCATGGAACACTGAGAACACTTGCTCAGACTAAAAGTGATCGACTCTTCAACACAGTAGACTAAAAACTCAATAACTATAACAAGAGGTCCATCTTAGAATTATGAGGTTTTGTTAAAAGCTCATTATTAATCAGTCACTTTTGGATTATCCATGAGTCCAACTCTTATAATTTCAGTTGTACAACCATATAAAATTATGTGGAAGTACTGAACAGTTCGCGACTCTTTGGTGGTACCAACCGATCACTCCAACTCTAGAGACTGAACCTAGGGTGTTTATAATTACAAGTTGAGCTCCTTGACCAATCAGTCACTTGGAAGGAATCCAATAACCAATCATTTCTAACTTTTGTGGATTCGCGATTTATGCCGCAACCTGTTCTCATACCCTACTTGGCGGACTCCGCTAGTCATTCCTTACGCTAGACCTTCAAGCAACTTCATCCAGTATTATTATTATTATTGTATCCTTTAATTCCTGCAGGAACATAGGGCTTCAGCCACACGTCTCCATTGCGTTCGGTTCTCTGCTAGAGTCTTCACCTGGCTCCAAGTCTGCCCACATGTTTTCATCTCCTCTTCACATGACCTCCTCCTAGTCACCCTCGCACTGACGACCAACTTGCCGCTTCCCATTCGGGTTCCATTCGAGCAATGGCTTGTCTAGTGATGTCACTTGATGGTTTCCTCAGAGTATGGCCAATCCATCTCCATTTCTTCCTGCCTATTTGTTTCAAAATCGGTTCCTATTTGGTTCGTTCCCAAAGATCCCTGTTGCTGTCCTTTCTGGCCATCTGATCTTGAGTACTGAACGAAGACAACTGTTAATAAAGGTCTTTAGTTTGTTTGAGATGCTCTTTATGACGCGCCAAGTCTCTGATCCGTATAGTGAGTAGCACTGACTTCACATTTGAGTTGAAAATCCGGATTTTATTATTGCTGTTGAGTGTTGTTGACCTCCACACAAACTTGAGAGTAGTGAAAGCTTGTCTTGCTTCATCCAGTAGTCAATTACTAGTGAGCGCTTGACTGGTTTTCAAGTACTGGTTTCCAGGGATTTGTGATCATTTGATTCCGATTGCTCCTCTGGATGATATTAGTTTATGAAAAAAGAAAAAATGTCCTAATAATGAATTACTCATAAAAAGGAATTCAGGATTAGGCAGTCACAACCATAATGAATAGCTACGAATAACTACCAGTTTAATATAACTCACATGAGAGTTTCCAATCTGCAAAGTATGTCATAAGTATTCCATCATACGGTAAATTGTCTTGTTTCTCAAGTACAGACCAATAGTCATCTGATGTTGATATAATTACAGACTCGCCTAAATGCTGTCGAACTTGATCTCTTAAGAACAACAAATACTGTAGATCGTATTCCTCATATGCACCGTAGTTCTCTTCTATCTGTATAAACAATAACATATTATTACTATTATGCATAATATTAATTCACACATAAAAAATACTTATACGTATTGAGTCTTTTAATTCTCTCTCATTCGGAATAGAAAATAGGGGAGTTCAAGCTTTAGTCTTTGAAGTTTCAGCAACGATGATATTTACCGTACAAAATGGAGTATCTAGCCTCAAAACCAACCTTCTCTAGTTATTGAGTTTAATAATAATAATAATTTGCTTTATTCCAAAACAGTACTTGTGATACAGAATGGAATTCTCAGCATTTTTACTACAGTATTGCATCCAGTTAGTACATTATCAATAAATAGAATTCTACATAGATTAAGGAAATCTCAGTTCATTATGACAGCAACATACTGGCATGTCGGTAGCAGAGCCAAAGTTGTACCTATAAATGATATCAGTTGGAAAGACGAGGTCGAGTTGTTCTACTGACTATTTAATGAATTATAGGTGTCACGCCTAATGCTTTCTTTATCACACAGAACGCGAGCTAAGTAGGGTATGGTTGAGTTTTTGTACTTGCTGGTGCGAGCATATAGTTTTCTATATTGGCTTCTTGTTTTACCTGATGAGATGCAAGGGGAGAGTTGTGAGGGAAGAGGGTGGTGTGAGTTAGATAAAATGGACTTGGCCCATTTTTCACATGAGTCCATGTGCCTGTCAACCAAAATATTAACAAGCTGGTTAAGTGGCACGTTGCTTACTCTGCTGACAACATTTAACATCCTGCGTAATGTGTTATAGTCTTTCTTCAGTAGCCCGGGAAAAACTAAGGGGGAACAATAGAGAATAATAGGCAGAATGCGAGAGTTAACGAATTGTAGGAGTAAGGGTTGGGTTATACCAGAATATTTTAACTTCTTGATGTAGAGGGTAAGACGGAATATTTTCTTAGAAATTGCTAAGATATGAGACGACCAGGAGAGATCAGCAGATAGAATGACGCCTAAGTATCTATTTTCCTACTTGGTTTCTATTTCACTGCCATCTATATTGCACACCTTGTGAGAGCTAACCAGTTTGTTTAGGTCGGATTTATGCCTAGAGGTGAAATTGACTGTTTGTCATTTGGAGGGGTTTAGGGTAAGACCGCTTTCCTTGGACCACTGGCTGATTTCTGATAGAAAGCCATTAAGTTTAGAGCAGTCACTTTGACATTTGACAGGCAAAGATACTGTCAGGTCGTCAGCATATTTGACAAAATTAATGTTATTTGAAGATGGTAAGTCATGTAGCAGGAAAGAAAGAAAAGAGAAGTGGGGAGCACCTTGAGGGACACCAGCTTCATTGAGCGCAGCAGAGGAGGATTTACCTTTGTATACGGTGTACTGCATTCTGTTAGAGAAGTAGGAATACAACCAGAGTCGAAAGCAGAAGTGAAGTCGAGAAACGTTGAGACGTCGAGAAACGAAACGTTTACTACCAGCTAAGCGAGTAGGCCAAGAAACCAAACCCAGATCACATGTGTGACTGTTGAGCATTCTACCAACGCATCACCAGTGCACCAGATCACAACAGTTCCTAAATGTTCAATATTTTAGCAATGAAAAAAAATGCCTGTAGATATCTAGTATCGATTTACTAAGATTTTCCGATCATATATGTTGTAGTGCCGATTCAGTGAACAAGAGATTCATCCACTTAGCCATTTCTTTTCGACTTAATTTTACCTAGTTTCCAAAGAATTTTCTAACTCCGGTAAAGAATCATAAAATTCATCGGTGTTTCTCAATTTTTTGTCTCTTTAAGACTCGACATTGTTGAGCTAATTTGGCTTTTAAGCTTTGTTAACCCAACTGATATAGCACGGAAAGAAGACAAGTAAGGGAATTATTAAAGTTTATCAATAGTAAATGTAAAGTCAGCGCTTCTATGTGATTCACAGATCCGGTACACGCATTAGCTAAAGTATTTCGAAAGAAGGGATAATGAACACATAGTACTCTTTTCGATAAATTCATTATCAGGCTCTACAGTTATATATACACATTATAGTGAATGAATGAATGAATTAGTGTTATGAACAACAATAAAGTTGTTTAAATAAAATCGAATCAATAATACTGATAGATTACAGCTCAATAGCAACAATATAAAATAAGCTGAATGTCAGAAAAATTAGGAAGGATAATATTACAAATTCATGAATTTATAGTCTCTACTGAAGGCCGGCCAGGGCAGTAGTAGGGGCTGAACTTGCTTCTTTTGAACACAGAGCACTGGTTGTTTGAGGCGAATTGCAATAGCCTCTGCTGTTTGGAGCATGCGGTGCTTCGATGATTTTGGCAATTTGTTAGCCGCCTGGTATATTATAGAGGAGGAGCGTTATATTGGCCGTTGCTCTAGGAACTTGATTTTTTGTGCTCACTCGAGAACATATCTCACTATGGCTAAGTAAAGGTGTAGTGAAAACCATCAACAGCTCGATATTAGACCATCTGATGCAAGCCAGCCACAAAGCCAGTCAGCATTGAAGAATCCTTCTCTATCATCTACCGGGTGCCATATAAATTACCAAAATCATCGAAGCACCGCATGCTCCAAACAGCAGAGGCTATTGCAATTCGCTTCAAACAATCAGTGCTTTGTGTTCAAAAGAAACAAGTCCAGCCACTACTACTGCCCTGGCCTAGAGTAGAGACTATAAATTCATGAATATCTGATGTTATCTTTTTTTCTAATTTTTCCAACATTCAGCTTATTTTATGTTGATGCTATTGAACTGTAATCTATCAATATTATTGATTAGATATTATTTGAACAACATTAATGTTATTCATAACACTAATTCATTCATTCATTCACTATAATGTATATATAACTATAGAGCCTGATAATGAATTTGTCGGAAAGGGTACTCTTTGTTCAGTATCCATTTTTTTGGAAATTTTATTGGGCATTTTTAATAAGTTAAAGCATTTCGGACGGCTTGTTGCAAACTTCCATCAGCATCTGCTTTTGTTAATTCAACACTGAAAATTAGAAAGCCTGCTGACCCAGGTTTAAGAGTATGTCTGCCAGGAATCGAATCTTTGACCACATCCCTGGTTGATGACTATCCTGCCACTTTCATTTGACTACTAATATTCAATATTAAAAAGTAGTATGGTACAATGTTATGTAAATTATTTTAGTTTGGTATCAGTGTTGAACCACTGATTGACAGATTTTAGGATCGAATAGCTACTCTCATGGACATAACACGGATGATTACCATTTATTTTTATCATGTAAAAAAGTACAGATCGAGTAGTATTCAAGTAGATGGAATGATACTTCAAGAATTTAATAGTACGGAATCAGCTCGATAGGGTTGTACATCAGGGAATCTAATTAGCAAAGTACTTAATTCCAGTCCAGATGTGATGTCAGTTTTATTTTTCAGAGATAAAATGTATTCGTGAGTTAATCATTTGTTTATTTACATTTGATCCATATAGGCAAATCAGCAAACTAAGGAAGATATGATGCAGAAGATTTATAGCTCAGGTGGATGATTTTGATGTGGTTGTGTTCTCTGAGCTGGATAGTTAATTTGCGAAGCTTTCTTTCAATTCAACGGCCAAATATATGAACAAGTCAAAGGAACACCTGTGGGATCGCAAATATCAGGTTTGATTGCAGAAGCATTGATGCAAAGGCTCGAAAACATAGTCCTACCAAAGATCAAACCCAAGATTTAGATACGCTACGTAGACGACATATTTGTAATAATCAAAAGAAACGAGTTAGATAAAACTCGCAGCTTAATAAACAAAGTCTTCAACGACATCAAATTCACAAGAGAAGAGGAATCCGAGAACAAAATCCCATTTTTGGACGTCTTAGTCAAGTGAACAACCACAGGGGAATTAGAAACCCAACTTGATATAAAATCAACTCACACAGATCAAATACTGAATTACAACAGCAACAACCCAATAACACACAAAAGGAATTGCATGCAAACACTATTCAAGAGGGCCAGGACTCATTGCAGCACTCCCACCTTAAGGAAAATTGAACAAAGATATCTTATGGACGTCTTCCAAAAGAACTGATATCCACAGAACTTCATCAAAAGATATCTACCCCGAAGCCGACCTGCCGAATCAAAGGCCCTCAACGAAAGTACAAAGAAAATCGCCCTACCATATATAAAGGATATATCAGAAATCACTGTAAGACTCGTCATACCTTTAGGAATTGACGTCGCACACAAACCAACAAAATCACTTCACTCAGTTCTATGTCAACCAAAGGACTCAACAGCCAAAGAAGATAAAACCAACATCATCTACAAAATAAAGTGTAACAACTAGGAAAAACCCTACATTGGCCAAACAGGACGTCCCCTTCGTCTTCGTATCCACGAACATAAGCTAGCCGTCAAAAGACATGACATCCACTCCCTCATATCACTACATACAGACAACCACGGGCATCAATTCGATTGGGACAATGTTCAAATATTAGACAGAGGAAACACCAAGAATACTAGAGAATTTTTAGAAGCTTGGCATTCCAGTGAATCATCAATCAATCGACACATCGAGATTGACAAAATTTATCAACCGATAAGAAAGAAACCTCACACACAAAGGGTCAAAGTTCAAGTCAAAGAAACAATCAGTTCCAATACAAGTAGCCTAGAAGGTGTGAAAACACAAAAACAACCAATCACGTCCAAGGTCACCAGGAGAGATGATTAATAAACTCGTGGAGAAATCTGAAAGCTCACTTCAATTCAACTTGAAGTATGCGCTGAAGATGTCACCTAGTAGGGTGATGAAAGCTTCGCAAATTAACTATCCAGCTCAGAGAACACAACCACATCAAAAACTAAGGAAGCTAAAACAGAAGTACAAATTAACATAAATGGTAATCAAGAATGCCAGCCTAAATCTATCATGATATGTACTAGCGATTGATAGATATGAGTCGTTGAATACCTGCCACATTAAGCTGAATTTTTGGTGGTTTAAACTAATTCGGCTCCTTGAGCTGATTCGAACCTGGTACACTGTTGATGAGCTTGGCTTCAAAAAACGAGTAAAATCGACCATCAGGTGTCTAGATCACCTCTATCTGGCTGTCCAGTAGGCACTACTGGTCGATGTAGATGGTATTCTACTACTCAAATTACTCAATGAGTAATATATAGTATCATAAAGTTATGGTTGGTTTTTTATTATCTAGAAGGAGCTGATTGTTTTTCTCATCATAACTAACTGAAAGTATCTCTTTGTACAAAGAATACTCTTTCAGCTCAGTTAGTTCACTGTCGTGCCAGCGTTCGGGAGGTCACTTGCCTAAGACTTGCCATGATGCTGTCTTTCATTTTAACTGACGTATTTTTCACTTACCAAGTTTATTAGTTTCAAACCAGATTTCACCAAGGATTAACGTTGACCGGAGAATCATGGATAAACCTTGAGTACTGGATATCTGTTTCATCCTAGGCTGGGTATGACTGAATAATTCGAAGCTAGGACGACTGATGTCGATTACTTCATGACAATATCTATCTTGATTCTCCTTATCCGAATAAATTGTACAGAAAATTATTATTATTATTGTTCTCTTGGGTTCTGAATGGAACATAGGGCTTCAACAAGACATCTCCACTTTCTTCGATTTTCTCTGTCCTCTTCAGCTGGCTAGCTCCACGACTGTTCATAATCTCTCATCTCCTCCTCGTACCGTCTCATCCATGTCACCATCGCACTCACGACCAACTCATCACTTCCCATTCGGATTCCATTCGAGCAATGGCCTGCATTGCGTGCGATGTCATTCGATGATCTCCTCAACGTATGCTCTATCCATCTACATTTTCTTCTACATATATTTTGAGCAGTCGGCTTTTGGCTGGTTCGTCATCTTCCAGAATTTCTTGTTACTAATTCTTTATGGCTGGCCAGCCCTTTGATCTTCAGTATGGAGCCGGCGAAGGCAGCTGTTGATAAAACTCTGAAGTAGCCTGCTGGATGTGCTAAACGTGACATGCTAGCCAAGTTTCTGACCGGTATGAAAGAACTAACTGACTTCACATTTGAGTTGAAAATCTGAATCTTGTTCTTTATTCTGGCTGACTGAGTGCAGAAGACTTCCAAACTGGTTTCTGCTTGATGAAGGCGTATCTTGACTTTCAGATTCTCGCCAACTTTGACATTTTCATCCGTTCCATCTGCCTATGTTTGAAACCATGCTTCCTAGGCAGATAAGAGAAGGAAGTGACCTCTGTTAAATCTTTCCCTTTGATGGTGATTGGTGCTGGTTGTTGTTGGTGTTGGTGTTGGTTGGTTATCTTTATCACCTCTGTCATCGATATGTCCACTTGGAGTCCTGCCATCGCTGCCTGCCTGTAGGTATTTGAGTTTGCGTGACATTAGATCTGCATAATCCAGATCTTCTAGAGTATTACTATCAGTGGTTCAGGAAATTAACTTGTGATTATTATAATTTTAATTCTGTTCTTTTATTTTCGCTAAAGCACATTAGTTGTAGTTACATTTTATAAGTTTTCATTAGATTAAAGAGTTTAAAAGTGGAAATCTACCATACTCAACATCAAAAACAAGATCTGAATTTATAGCACCAATGTCAAGTCACTGCCCCTAAACGATTCACAGACTTGCTGTGTACGTCACGGAAGCTATTCATAACAGGCTCTAGACTTTCTTCAGCACCAACTGTCATTCTATACCAGAGATTCAATAGTGATTCAAGAAGGATGAGGAACAAGCAACTCTGACAGTATAGTGAATCAATCAAGAACCAATCGTCTAACAACTATGCAGTAGTAAGTGTAGATGACATACGCTGAGGAGACTGCTGATTGATATTACGCACCAGGCCTTTTCATGGAACCCTAACTGGAAGTAAGCCATGAGTTGTGCGTCCTTGGGTGACATGGAGAAAGTCATATGAGAAGGAAATAAAAGCTTATATGCATCCAACTAAAAAAATTGAAGAGAATAGAAAGAAATGACGATGTGTTGCTGAAGGCGTATGTTCTGCTTCAAACCGTAGGGCTGAATAATAATAATAATAATAGTAATGATAGTAAAGGAATGAAAGCAAGTGAGTTCTAGGCTCAATAATCATGCTTAGACTAAGCGGTCCACGGGAGGAACATACACGAGAGAACCAGGCAGACTTTAGACCAGGAAAGGGGGTGTATTGATCATATCTTCACCCTTCGACAGATTCTGGAACGAAACATGGGCATACTTACCGGCGTCCAACATTCGTTATTTATAGACCTATAGGCGGCATTCGATTCTGTCGACCGAGAGGTACTCTGGCGATGCTTGGCTGTAAAGGGAATGCCGAGAAAATACATTGCACTGATCAAGGCACTCTACTCGTACTCATGCAGCCAGGTGTGGACTTACGGCGAGTTGTCATCTGAAGTGGTGAAAACTAGTGGTGTCCATCAGGGATGCCCACCATTGTCCCCATTTCTATTCAATTTCATCATAGATGTACTAATGGACTTAACCCTAACTCACTTCATATACTCAGGGATTGACTTGTTACCAGGGAATAATCTCGTTGACTTAGAATATGCAGATGATATTGTCCTCCCTGCTAGATGCACAGTCTACGAATGTTAGGCATGCGATTCGCTCCCGCTAAATGTAAGATGATGTTACAGGACTAGACTACACTGACTCCTAGCTTAGAAATAGGGAGTGAAGTGGTAGAGCACGTTGACCACTTCACTTATTTGGGAAGTTGCGTCACTCTGAGCCAACGGGTTGATCGCTGACGAAATCTCAGAACGGACACAGAAGGCTAGTTTCTCATATCCCAGTTTACATCATCTCTGTTGTAGAGGTGACTGGCTGTCAACCAAAGGACGTGTGTACTGCTCAACAGTCTGCTCCGTCCTCCTCTGTGGCTGTGAGACCTGGCCATTTAGAGTGGAAGACGTGAAAAACCTGGCTAGCCGTCTTTGATAATAGGTTCCTGCGTTCTATCTCCCGTGTGAAGTGGTATGATAGGGTAAGCATTACTGAGGTTAGGCGTCGAGCGCTAGGTGAGGAGGGGAAATCAATCGACGAGACTGTGAAATTACATCGACTGAGATGGTTAGGACATGTGTTACGTATGCCCAGCCACCAGCTTCCTCGACGGGCAATGTTAGCTGACTTAGGATCAGGTTAGTTTAAGCCACGTAGGAAGGTGTAGACTTCCTGGTTGGGGTCCTCGGGATGGCAAACACCAGTGGCTAGAGACAAATGGTGATATGGCTCAAAGTCGTTTTCAATGGAGCAGATGCATCCACTCCTTGTGACTTGTAATTTCCAATGAAACCATATTTTTCTTCCATATTACTATTCTTTTTGATTCAATTCTCTGTTTTGAATCTCTTTTAACTTTCTTCTCTTGCTTTTGTGCTAAGAGAAGTGTGACGACTCGAACTGCTGCACATCAGTGTAAAGTTCTATGTTGAAAACAGACAGACAGATAGTGAAAGCACATAAAGAAAGTTATCAAATTGTGTGAATAAATCGATATGATTATAAGCAGCAATAAATTGTGTTCCAGGCATCATTCAATTAATAATACTTTATGACAGGGTTATGCTAAATAAACTTAGAATAGGCATGTCTAGTGATATACACACTGACTTATACAGACGATAATCTCCAGAGGAACTGCTAAATACATCCGAAATAAGATATTTTCTTTTACCTGTATCATTATTATTGGTCCATTATTTTCATAAAGAAACGGCTTTAATTTAGGCAATAGTGTATCGTACCATCGAGCGACTTCATTGGTAAATCCTGTAAGGTAAGAAGAAGATAATATATGACATTAAGATATATTTCTCTTAATTTTGTTTCACTGTACTTCAATATTTCTGAATGAATTATGTTCTATATGCTCAGATTTCTGAGCTTTCTAGGTTTTGTCATTAAGGCGTCTCTGTTAACTGGTGGAGTTTGTTGTAATCTCAGAAACGGGAATTCACATTAACAAGGACTGTGGTGAGCTACTGAAATCATAATAAAGCTTTTTGTTCAGTTTTCGAGAAATAGATGATGTCGTATGTAGATTCAACCGATTCTGCTTTGTGCACTTGGAATACAAACGCAATCTGATAAAGTGCTTAGTTCACAGAGCAAGAGCAATCTGCTCCGATGAATGTCTTGATGAGGAACTTACTAATATCAAACGGTTGCTGAGTGAAAACGGTTTTCCAGAAAAGTTTATTGATAAGAATATGAATCTAAAATCAAAGCAGCCCAAGGTACCAACAGTTCCTGAAATGCCTTATTTTTACCAGTGCAGTTCCTTGGGGACAACATCAGCGAGATACTAACACAACGTTTTAGAAATGCGGTAGAAAAAGCATTCCCTACTGTTGAATTACGCTGTGTCTTCAAAACCATACACCACCTGTTTTGCGTTCGGGAGTAAAACATAAACTGCCTAATTTCGCCTCTTCCATGTGTTAGAACAACACATATAAGCGAACAGTATTGTTTCCAATTAGATCTTCTTCAGGCTTTACTCTAATTTACACAGATTGATATATAAAAATTTTAACCAATGACGGTGATTTTGTGGATCAAATAATAATAATAATGTGGTAAATGTTTTAAACGTAGTTAATAACGATGATTATATTGATAACAAAATATTGATAATAAGGTTAACGCAGGCGGCGATACGAATAACAAGGGTAGTAATATGTGTATATGTAGACATTTCAATAAATAAGTTAGGTCAAATCTTAAAAGTTACGTTAATTTACGTTCCATGTGTGTCTACAAATTTAACTGCTCTTGTGGAGTGAGTTAGTTACATAGGGCATGCAATTAGGTGTGTTTCTCGTCAGATTACTGAACATCACCCTGCATGGTGGTTAAGTAAAGGACAAACAAAATCTATTCGAAACGCTAATCTTTCTCATCTTGTGGATACAGAACACAAGATTCATGTTAACCAAGCTTTCAAAGTCATTTACCGCACACCAACAAATCTTAATTTCGCCTTAAGAGTTCGTTTACTAAATATTTCTGAGGCTGTTGGGATTCACATTAAGAAACATAATTTATGTGTCCAAAAGTAGCTAGTTGAGACATTATCCTTACCTTGGCCATCTAGGTTTGAATGATCCTGAACTTTGTGGAATTTTCCTAACTTTAGTTGATATTCTAGTTGCTACTACATCTTTGTTATTATTATAATTTAAGCATCTTCAATGAATTGTAATTCCATTGATCTTACCTTACAAATCTATATTATTCAGAAAACACTAGTATTGTTATTGACTACTATTCTAGAATATTCTATGTACATAAACATATATATATGATTGTAGAGCCAGAAGAGGAAATTATCGAAAAGGATATTCTTTGCTCAATTATTTTGTGTTTTATATAAAAATTATTTTAAAGTAATTATCTAAATCGATTTTTTTCACTGTTGTGTTTATCTGCATTCGATTACTTTCAAGATAGATTTTGTCAGTAAGTGATATTATTAAAAGTATTATTGGAAGCCAGGGAGTTGTGCACAGCTCTTCTATACAGATTTGGCAGCCTGACCAATAACTGTAACCTCTCACATTCGGATTACGAAGTGAGCATATTACACTTCATGAAGTCGGCATAAATTGTGATTTTTGACATTTCACGATCTGCTGAAACTGCTATCTCATATAATTGGTGAATATTTGCTGTCACATTCGAGTTGGTTGACTCTGTTAGCTGATGATTTCCTAATTGATGTTGTCTGCTCGAATAATGATTAATTAAGGTATGAACGTCCTAGATTTCTCATCAGAATAGAGATAGATATGTTGCCCTGGATGATACCTGATGGTGGTTGGCTGTATTGCCAAGTATCAGGAGCTGCAGTCCGTTGGTCGTCGGTTTCCACTCATTGGATAAGTGGTTTTGTGGTTGAAATGAGATCACATTTATTTTGAAAAAATGTACTACCCTAAATGCCTTAAGTGAACAGTTTAAATATACACAAGGAAGAAACTTTAAGATAGATTTGAGCTAATTTCCCAAAAGTAAAAGTCAATAACAGATTGGTTTTTTTATGAATTTTGTTATGAAGAGGTGGAAATTATTAGAAGGGTTAGTTAATTAGTCTTTGAATTATAAAAAAGTTACATTAATAGATGCATTGAAGGCAGATTGTCCCGAAGTTCATTGGGAAATCATTTTTTTTAAATTCAAGTTAGGAGACGACACGAGCTGGCAGTAAATGACGAGCAGAAAGAAACTTACTGTTATCACACTTAAAACGGTACTGTTTCGAGGTGTATTTATAAACAGACTTTCTTCAGGTCATATTGCTTGTAAAAACATATCTAACCCTTACAAACCAAGCTATAGAAAATATTGCTTTTTAATATATGTGTAAAACTTGGGCACTCTGGTAGTAAGTAATTCCATATTAGTTTGTTTATTTGATATATCACACAGTGAAACAGTATTATTTACTGGATGACGTTTCGAACAAAATTTATTGTTCATAATCATATCAATTATAATCACACGACTTTGACACTTGAGTTTTATAGTTTTCTTTGTTCTCTCCAATTTGTCTTCGTTGGGGTAGTAGCATTTTCCAGATATCGGGGACATAGGTCAAACTAGTAGAACAGGGGCAGTCAGACTAGCTGAACATAAAAACCTAGCAAAATACAGATTGGTTGACCCGAATAAGATAAGAAATCTAGAGAATAGTTCAGCTATAGCACTACATGCAGTTACACACGACCATACAATAGGATGGGATACGATGACAGTTTTAGAATCTAATGTCAACTACAAATACATGTAATAGGAATGTATCATCACCTGTCCCCGATATCTGGAAAATTCTACTACCCCAACGAAGACAAACTGGAGAGAACAAAGAAAACTATAAAACTCAAGTGTCAAAGTCGTGTGATTACAATTGATATGATTATGAACAATAAATTTTGTTCGAAATCTTGTCATCCAGTAAATAATACTGTTTCACTATGTGATATGTCAAATAAACAAACTAATATGGAATATTGCTTTTTGTCACTGCTTTGCTCTCCAAGAGGAACATACGTCCTCAATCTCTAGACGCTTACATTTCAGTAGTGCTGGTGTTGCTTTTTTAACGCGGACGGGGTTGTTAGCCTCATCCTTAACTGTTCTCCTTTAGCTGGCTTATCACCGGTTAAGCGAGTCTTAAGTGTGTCGATGAGGGGGGGGGGGTCGAACTTAAACCAGGTTTGTGGCTGGCCAGCATTCTACTATTGAACCTAATTATTCCCTAATTATTCAAAAATTCATCATAAATGCCCGTTGAAAATTTTAAAACACTGTTTAGTGAACAAAGAATATTCTTTCCGATAACTTTCTCTTCACTGGATTCTACAATTATGCCTCCAGGTACCTAGAACAGATGCCGAGATTTTCTGACCACCTGTTTTTTTTCTATTGATTTAGTAAACAAGCAATTCACTCATTTGTCTATTTCTGTTTTATTCAAACTTACTTAGTTTCTAAAGTGTTTTGCTATTCTATTAAAGAATTATCAAACGCATTGATGTCCTTATTAGGGCTTTTTTCTGTTGATTTAATTTGCTTTGTATGCCTTGCTGTTGAATCAGGTGATACAGTCCTAGTACTTTGACAAAAGAAATAGACTAGTGAGCGTAGTTTAAGGGTTTATTAATGGTAAATGTGAAGTCAGTGCCTATATATGGTTGAGAGACTTGGTGCGTCACGAAATAGATTTCCAACAAACCACTACAGACTTCCATCAACAGCTACCGCTTCTCTGTCTTCATACTGGTGATCAGATGGTCTGGTGGAAGGAATAAGGAACAGAGAGCTATAGAAATACAGAGAACCATTCAAGAACCCATCTTGAAACACATATGTATAAGAAAATGGAGATGGATTGGACATATGCTCAGGAGATTTTCAAGTAATACCATAAATTTTGGTGAAGAGTGAAATCCCAATGAGAAATGACAAGCTAGGTGTCTGAAGGTGACATGGAGGATATCGTTTTGGGGAACAAATGAAAATATGAGTAAATAAATAAAATATATGAACACATCCGACCAGTAGGCGCCATGATACCACGTTTGTATGGACTACCTAAAATTCATAAGACAGGATTACCCCTCCGTCCTATCCCCGATATGGCGGGTTCTTCTTATCACTGAATCGCTCAATGGCTAGCTGAAATACTGGAACCAGTCAGAAGGCAAGTGTCTAAGTTTTCCATTGATGATACGTTTAAGTTTATTGGTGGCATTAAAGATTTCATCGTCTCAGACAAAATCTTGTTCTCATTAGATGCGACGTCGCTATTTACCAATGTTCCCCTCATGGAAACTGTTTGCTACTTATGTGATTATATTGATACACATAGTTTAGAAATAGGACTGCCGACCATCTACCTCAAAGAGCTTTTATTGAGATGCATGTTGAACGTTCAGTTCACCTTCAATACTGAGATCTTTAGACAGAGAGACGGCATTGCCATGGGATCACCACTGGGTCCCTTGTTGGCTGATTGTTTTATGGCTAAGCTTGAAAATTCTCAACTTAGTCAAACCATCGGGCATTTTGACATTTATAAACGATACGTAGACGATACTTTCGTTATCTGCGATAAAAATGTAATTCTTGACGATGTCTTGTTTGCTTTCAACAACTGCCATCCTTCTTTACAATTCCCCGTAGAAAAGGAATCCGAACTAAGTATTCCATTTCTTGATGTGTGCCTTAGCAGACGTAATGACGGATCTCCCAAAAGATCTATCCACAGGAAACGTACAAGGAACGGACAACTAAATAATTTTTACAGCTGGGTGTTCTGCTCTAGGATAAGGAAAATTCGTAGTTCTGATTCTGTTGACTCGGAACCTGACTTCTTAAAAGCCACGCTCGCAGAAAACGGTTACCCTAACCGATTTATTGACAGCAACATGAAAGATAAGCAGTCTAAACTGGTCACCGATACAGTCCCAAAGAAAACCTTATTCATGAACTTGGAATTCAAAGGTGATCAAGCTTCAGATATGCTCAAAAATCGTCTCTCTAAATCAGTCAGTAAGACGTTCTATGCAGCAAAATTACATATAACGTTCACTAGCCGCAAGTTGTTCTCTACCTCTGTAAAAGATAAGCTCCCCCGTCTGGCCACCTCCATGTGCATCTATCAGTTCACCTGCTCTTGTGGAGCAAGGTACATTGGCCGTAGTCAGAGGACGCTTTCGACACGGATACGAGAACATATTCCAGCCACATGGTTTTGGAAGGGAGAAAGGAAGTGTGTGCGAAGCTCTATTCTGGAACACCTGATCGACTTCTGTCACTCTGTCAACCGTGACCATGATTTTAAGATCATATATAGAATCCATGCTAACTTCCCGCGTTTTCTTCGTTACAGACTTCTAAAGACAGCTGAGGCCTTGGCAATTCATGACTTTAAGCCAGACCTTTGTCTAGGAAAGAAGTATGTACAATCCCTACTTCTGCCTTGGCCGTAGTTAGTTATTCTATGTACCTTCTCCTTATTACTACGATTATTACTATTATCATTATTATTATTACTATTCTTACTCTGAATTGTTTCCACTTGACCCACTTGTCATTTTAAACCCAAAATTGTTAACCTTTTTCTTTTTTCTTTTTACAATATTGAATTCTATCTTATCAAATTTCACACCATGTTATGTAACATTTCATATTCGCCTACTAATCCTATAATTATGTACCCCATTTCAAAATTTTATACACTTTATGTATTATTCTATATATGACATTGATTGTTTTGCCACTTGACATTAAACTATGATTATAATCACAAATATTTTAATTGCATTTCATACTATTATTATTTCGTGTATTCCCACCTTTGACCTAATTCCCTTACCGGATATAATTTCTTCGCTGAATATTGTGTTCTTAATGCTACAATGGGAATTATTAAATTATTGAATAAATGAAAGCTTATGGTCGTGGGGCCATTTTTGGAAGACTTCACAGAGGGATGTGTTGCTCAAAGCCTATTTTTCCCTGGAAACTCTGAGGACGAATAATAGTAACAGTAGTGGTAAATTATAACGAAGGTGTATACTAGTGGTAGATGTGAGCATTTGGAAATCACTAGTGCTCACTAGCCATATCTGAAGTGACCTGAATATATTGAACAGCTGTTTCACTGGTTTAGAACTGTGATCATCAGCACTGTACGTGGTTCAACTCAAAATAGATAGCCAAGTCAGTTCAAACCATTCGAATTTTGGCCAGGTACTTAGGTGAACTGGTGATACACAGAATTACAAGCAAAACAATAACAATATGATTATTCTTGCATTGATTCCATTATTGTAAATGATATCAACCATTCGATATCAATAGCGAGCTTCTTTTTCTTTTCACGCCTTCCTGTAAAATCTAACCTTCTCCTCAAACTTATTCCAGTGACACTCAATATACTAATGATATCCACTTATAAGTAGAACACACTAAGGTATAACCTATGCAGTGAAGACGGATAATTCAACTTTCATGTATAATAAATCAATAAATACCGATAATGTAAAAGCCTCACTGTCTTCTTTGGATATATACACATTGAGGTGGCCAAAAGCGGTATCTTGTCCTTAGCGTTAGACTAGATTAACTGTCTGCAGGAGAATGTGATACGTAGAGCGGCTGTTGGAAATGTCTTCTTCAGACATTTAGAAAGGCGGTTTCTGAAAATTTCCGCTGCGACATCACCTTTGAATTCTAGGTTCGTGAAGAGAGTCTTCTTAGGAGCCGTTGCGATGTTTGACACCGGAGGCTTCTCCTTCATGTTTTTGTCAATAAACCTTGGTGGATATCCATAATAAATTTAATTCTTCCTCTACCATGTCTTCCGAGCAGATTTTTCTGATCCTTGGACACAATGTACGTACCAGGTTTCTCTTTAGGATTAGTAGGACAAAGCTCTGCAAGTTGATAAACTGTCCAGTCCATGTTGGCTTGCGGTATATTGATCTTTGGATAGTACAGTCGTGTCGTCTGGTGAGTAGTACATCAAGGAATGGAAATGCGTTGTTCGATTCTCGTTCTAAGGTGAAACTTATTGATGGATGCACTGCGTTGAAGGTTTTGAGGAGAGAATCTAAATCACAATTTTCACCACAGATTATAAACGTATCATCTATGTATCTCTTGTATAAGTGCAGTTGACTTATCAAGGGATCGAGGATGTTGTTTTCGAGACTCGCCATGAAGCAGTCGGCTAGAAGTGGACCGAGAGGAGACCCCATGGCCACCCCATCTTTCTGTACATAGAACTTTTCATTGAATTTGAACTGGATATTGAACGTACATCTGAGAAGAAGTTCCTTCAGGTAGTTTATTGGGAGAGGAACTTCTAGGTTGTTGGTTTCGATGTTATCACAAATGAAGCATATTGTTTCAGTTAGGGGGATGCTTGTGAATAGAGGGACGAAATCTAGTGAGATCATTTGTCTTTCAGACACGTTGACATCCTTCACTGAGTCGATGAAGTCAAATGTATCTCTGAGGCTATATTTTGTCATATGTCTTTGAACTGGTTCGAGGATATCAGCTAGCCACTTCGCAATTTGATGTCTATGACAGGTCGAAGTGGGACATTCTCCTTGTGCACTTTGGGCAGTCCATATAGTCTTGGGATAGTTAAACGGCAAGGTTTTATTTGCTCGTGTGGAGCAAAGTATATTGGCCGTACGCAACGTCAAGTCCACAAACGTATTCTGGAACATTGCCCAGCTTGGTTAGCCAGAGGAGAAAAGAAGAATAGCAACAGCTCGATCCTCGAACGCCTTGTCATCTCTGGACATCGAGCACCCCCACATGAATGCTTCACAGTGTTACACAGAGTCCCTCAATATCGTACAAAGGGACGTCGGATACGCCATCTGTACATCTGAAACCGGACCTCTGCATCCAAAAGCGATACATACATTCTCTTGCCTTACCATGGCCAGAGTAAAGTTCTCACCACAATTCTGCTTCTTTCCTTTATTATGTGAGTTCACTATTACTATTTTATTTTATTAATACTTTTTTATTATCATTATTGTTCCCGTCATCCACATTTTATCACCACTCTATTACTGTTTATTAATAACATTCCTTTTCATACATATTTTATACAAAAACACTGTATAGCCTTTCCACTAGTTCCTGTCCATTTTACACGAGCTTATTGATTATTCATTATCTCACACTTATTACGTCATGCCAACTTCTGTCTCTTTTCTAACTTACAATTAGTCATCCCTTCTTACACCTTACATTATGTAATACAATTTTCCAAGGACAAAATTTACCAGTATCTGATTGGTCTAAAGATTTCTTTGGTAACTGTAATTGCGATTGTACAGCTCATGAAAATGAATCGTCGAAAAGAAAATTTTCCTCGCTGTTTGTGCCTTTTTCTTGTGACTCAATATGGAAATATTTCCTTGTTTGGATATCTCAAAAATTCTCCATCAGGTATGAAGAGGCAAACTAAACTAACAAAGAACACTGAACGACTGCTCCGTTCTAGTTCAGCAGTACAAAACTCTGACTCCACTGTGAATCAAATCAATGGTTCATATTGCTCTAAAGTACAAAACTAGGCGAAACAGCTAATCAGTGCTTCATTGATTTCCCGTAATTCTTTAACTAATGTTGACTGGTTCTAAAGTGAAACTGAAATCAGTTAAAGCCTAGTGAGTCAGGAAAGTGAATCAATCTGTATGATACATGTTTACCCCTCCCTGTATAACAGTAGACATTACTGTCAGTAGAATTCCGAAGGCTTGTGTTGATGTGATGGAATAACAAACAAATTGTGAACAAAATAATAGACTTGGTATGGCTTCAGGTAATAGAGTTATTTCCTTATCATCTGAGGCACAAAACCCAGAAGGTTTCAGTATCACTGATAGTCGCATGTATCTCTTCGATAGAGTATATCTTATATAATTTCTAGTACATTCTGACGATTGACAACTAGCACGAAAACTAGGTCCAAGGCTTCCTGTGGCCGATTGCCTCCAACTATCTAATATCATCAAATCAATGTGCACCGTGATGGCGAGCTACATAGAATGGTGGCCACATTGTAAACCTGACTGATAGAATTCAGTCTGCACCAAACAGAAAGGAATAGACACATCACACTAGTCACTGACTAGTGTCCAATCAAAGTATCCAATACAGTCCTACAAGAGGTCAATCGCGAGACCATATAGCTCAGTGGTATTGTCTCTGACTATAGGCAGCACTGGGTGAGGCCTCAGAAGGGACATGAGTTCCTTCAAGGCTGAAGATACGCCTTTCTGACTGGTGAGTGCCAACTAGCACGGAACGTAGGTTCAAGGCTTCCTGTAGATTGCCTCCAACTATCAAGTACATCCTTAGGTTCAATTAGACTTTATCATGAACCAGAGTGCTCACCATTTCCTAACCAATGAAATCATTGGACGGTTCGACGTCTATTCACTGAATTTTGACAAATCAGTACATTGAAATGTATGATATCACAGTACTTTTTAAGCAGTAAATTATTCATCAACAAAACATACCTTCATCAGATGAACGCAAAGTCATACTTTCATTTAGATAAAACAGCCATGGCGGAAGTCCTCCCTAAAATTACAGAAAAGTACAAAGAAATGAGAATGATTGACTGGTGACCAAAAGAAATATTTTTACGATAACTTACCCATCTCCCTTGGCCCTAAGTGTGCGTCGATGGCACAGCGGTAGAATGCTCGCCAACCACGCCTCATGTAGTCAGGAGTTCGATCGCCGGCCGACGCACTCCTTTACCTCGCCAAGCCAGTAATAAGACTGGTAAAGAGGGAAGGTTGGACATGAGACTAGCAACCGCACCCCGTAAAAATAAACACCACTGCTACCGAAACTTCAAAGCTCCAGCTTGAAACCCTATGTTCCATTGAGAACGTGAAGGAACAAAAAAATGACCCTAGGTATTTGATTTTTGTCCTCCAGAATATCTACAAGTGTAGCTAAACAGTGGTGAGATAGAAACCCTTAAGAGTTCAATATTAAAACACTCAATGTAGCACAAAACACTGAGAGAAAGGAAAACTTCAAAGGAATTACATTGATCAGAAGTGTAGAGGAGAAATACTAGTAGAGTAGAAATACTTGAGAGTCTAATAGGTATAGGAGATAAAAAAGAGAGGTAGGTCATCTGTGTTATTGACAAATTGTTATAACTGCAGTGAATTAAAGTAAAACCCCGTCGCCAATTTGTTGTAACGGTAACGGGATTAATTGAGGAACGTTGTCGCCTTATTCTATCTGCGCCTGATTAATATGCCTATCTGCTTCTGGTACCTTCCGATTCAGCGAACCACGTAAATATCAAAAGACAAAGTCTGGTCTCTGACTGTGTATTGTAGTACAACAACTATGACTACGACGACGACAACAACGACGACGACTACGACAACGACGACGACAACAACAACGACGACGACGACTACAACAACGACTTATTTAGGAAATGGTATTTATACAATTTTACAACCAATAGAGACAGCTAACAGTATTTGAAATAATTGGTCGTAATAGTCAATAGCAAAATGCGTGGGAATGATGATATACCACATATGCGAGATTAACAGTCATTAAGATAACTGAACAATAACAAAGTGCCTGGGAAATGATAATATAACACATATGCGAGATTAACAGTCATTAAGATAATTGACAATAGCAAAGTGTGTGAGAATTGATGGTATACAACTTATACGAGATTAACAGTCGTTAAGATAATTGAACAATAACAATATGCGTGAGAAATGACAATATACAACTTATACGAGATTAACAGTCGTTAAGATAATTGAACAATAACAAGTGTGTGGGATCCTATCACCTCCCCCCGTTAAAAGTGTAGGACTTGCTTTTTGGACCTATTTGAAAAGGTTTTGGAGCTCTTCTTTGTCGAGTTGACTTTCGCGTACTGGATAGATTGTGATCTGCGTCCCGGGCTTTCGGCTGTGGAAGGATTTGGTGTCGTACGATGATAACGTAGCAAGGATCTATCCAAAATTTCTTCTGTTGTTCCCTCCCCCTTCGGTTTTGCATAAGCACGCAGGCGTTGCAAGAGAGACTGATCAGATACATGTCCGGGAACAACGTTCTTTGGTGAGGACGAAACATTAGAGCATACTGAATTTAATGGTACATTGAAGATATGGAGCTTGTCTAACCAGTCAAGACCAAGCAAATTCAGATCATGGTGGTTTGTGACGTAACATACACCATTGAACTGATTCTCACCAAATAAAACCTGGCAATTTATCTCACCCACGAGTTTCAGTATGTCTCCTGAGGCATTCTTTGCGACATGCTCGGTCGGCAGAATCTGTGGGCACCCAAGTTTGCGCCACGTAGTTCGGGAAATTAAAGTGATATCTGATGCCGTATCCAACTGAAGACGAATAGATTTGCCGTTAATACGTAGTGTAATGTACTTACGTTTGCTGGCGAAATCGACTTTGGAAGTTGTGAAAACGGTCTGTATTCGAGGAGATTGTTTCGGCTTGAAATGACGACTTCTGTTCTTCACCGAAGAATTTTTCTGTGGCGGACAGTAACCCTCTTTATGTCCAAAACGGTGACAATTACGGCATTTATGTTTCTTGAAAGGACAGAACTTGACAAAATGCCACGAACCACAGTGCCAGCACACTGAAGGAGGTTTAGCTGAATTCTGAGACTGACGTGCTGTGTGCTTAACGGTGATCGGGGGACTTTTCACTGTGTTAACTGAATCAAATTCAGACGACTGTCGTTTGCACTCCAACATAGCAGTATCGTGCTTCAAGTTGATTAAGCGTTGGCATTCTGCTGTCACCATTTGTAAAGTCATTTTTGGGTCTTGTTCCACGAGTGATAGAAGTCGAGTTCTGATGTCAGTATCTTCAGGGTTCTTCAACCCACAAATAAAAATCAAACACTTGAACTGATCTGATGTCATTTCGTGTGGTTTGAACCTTTCGCATTCTTTGTTCACTTTGCCAGCGTAAGTAACATAATCATCGGAAGGCATTTTTGTCAACTGAAAACATTGATACCGAATATTAAACATGGATGACTGTTCACCAAAGATTTGTGATAAAACGGTGACTGTCTCATCGAATGATAATTCACGTGGGTTCTTAGGCAGAATGAAGTTAACATATCTGTTGTGCTCAACAGTACCAAGTTTTCGTAGTAACAATCGGACTTTGGCAGCATCATCAAACATGTGGCATTCAATACGAAAAACGTCTTCATAACGATTGAACCATGCATCAAATAGGAGACCAGATATTGGGTCGTAGTTGAATTCACTGATGGAATTTGAGATGCTTTCGTATTTTTCTGAATGAGATGTTGATGGGACCTGAATTGACAGCTTCTGAGTGAGAGCTTCGATTAATTTAAGTTGAGCTGCTTCATTCTGAAGTTGCTGCTGCTGCAAGATGGATTTGAGATCGTCCAGAGAGATAGACATTGTAATTGGGTTGTAATTAACACAGTCAAAAATGTTCTATAGATGCGCTGAACAGAATAAAACACGTCGTCGCTTGCTTGTTATAACTGCAATAAATGAAAGTAAAACCCCGTCGCCAATTGTTATATCGGTACGGGGATTTAAATGAGGAACGTTGTTGCCTTGTTCTGTCTGCGCCTGACTAATATGCCTATCTGCTTCTGGTACCTTCCGATTCAGCGAACCACGTAAATATCAAAAGACAAAGTCTGGTCTCTGACTGTGTATTGTAGTACAACAACTATGACTACGACGACGACAACAACGACGACGACTACGACAACGACACAAACGACGACGACTACAACAACGACTTATTTAGGAAATGGTATTTATACAATTTTACAACCAATAGAGACAGCTAACAGTATTTGAAATAATTGGTCGTAATAGTCAATAGCAAAATGCGTGGGAATGATGATATACCACATATGCGAGATTAACAGTCATTAAGATAACTGAACAATAACAAAGTGCCTGGGAAATGATAATATAACACATATGCGAGATTAACAGTCATTAAGATAATTGACAATAGCAAAGTGTGTGAGAATTGATGGTATACAACTTATACGAGATTAACAGTCGTTAAGATAATTGAACAATAACAATATGCGTGAGAAATGACAATATACAACTTATACGAGATTAACAGTCGTTAAGATAATTGAACAATAACAAGTGTGTGGGATCCTATCACCTCCCCCCGTTAAAAGTGTAGGACTTGCTTTTTGGACCTATTTGAAAAGGTTTTGGAGCTCTTCTTTGTCGAGTTGACTTTCGCGTACTGGATAGATTGTGATCTGCGTCCCGGGCTTTCGGCTGTGGAAGGATTTGGTGTCGTACGATGATAACGTAGCAAGGATCTATCCAAAATTTCTTCTGTTGTTCCCTCCCCCTTCGGTTTTGCATAAGCACGCAGGCGTTGCAAGAGAGACTGATCAGATACATGTCCGGGAACAACGTTCTTTGGTGAGGACGAAACATTAGAGCATACTGAATTTAACGGTACATTGAAGAAATGGAGCTTGTCTAACCAGTCAAGACCAAGCAAATTCAAATCATGGTAGTTTGTGACATAACATACACCATTGAACTGTTGCTCACCAAATAAAACCTGGCAATTTATCTCACCCACGAGTTTCAGTATGTCTCCTGAGGCATTCTTTGCGACATGCTCGGTCGGCAGAATCTGTGGGCACCCAAGTTTGCGCCACGTAGTTCGGGAAATTAAAGTGATATCTGATGCCGTATCCAACTGAAGACGAATAGATTTGCCGTTAATACGTAGTGTAATGTACTTACGTTTGCTGGCGAAATCGACTTTGGAAGTTGTGAAAACGGTCTGTATTCGAGGAGATTGTTTCGGCTTGAAATGACGACTTCTGTTCTTCACCGAAGAATTTTTCTGTGGCGGACAGTAACCCTCTTTATGTCCAAAACGGTGACAATTACGGCATTTATGTTTCTTGAAAGGACAGAACTTGACAAAATGCCACGAACCACAGTGCCAGCACACTGAAGGAGGTTTAGCTGAATTCTGAGACTGACGTGCTGTGTGCTTAACGGTGATCGGGGGACTTTTCACTGTGTTAACTGAATCAAATTCAGACGACTGTCGTTTGCACTCCAACATAGCAGTATCGTGCTTCAAGTTGATTAAGCGTTGGCATTCTGCTGTCACCATTTGTAAAGTCATTTTTGGGTCTTGTTCCACGAGTGATAGAAGTCGAGTTCTGATGTCAGTATCTTCAGGGTTCTTCAACCCACAAATAAAAATCAAACACTTGAACTGATCTGATGTCATTTCGTGTGGTTTGAACCTTTCGCATTCTTTGTTCACTTTGCCAGCGTAAGTAACATAATCATCGGAAGGCATTTTTGTCAACTGAAAACATTGATACCGAATATTAAACATGGATGACTGTTCACCAAAGATTTGTGATAAAACGGTGACTGTCTCATCGAATGATAATTCACGTGGGTTCTTAGGCAGAATGAAGTTAACATATCTGTTGTGCTCAACAGTACCAAGTTTTCGTAGTAACAATCGGACTTTGGCAGCATCATCAAACATGTGGCATTCAATACGAAAAACGTCTTCATAACGATTGAACCATGCATCAAATAGGAGACCAGATATTGGGTCGTAGTTGAATTCACTGATGGAATTTGAGATGCTTTCGTATTTTTCTGAATGAGATGTTGATGGGACCTGAATTGACAGCTTCTGAGTGAGAGCTTCGATTAATTTAAGTTGAGCTGCTTCATTCTGAAGTTGCTGCTGCTGCAAGATGGATTTGAGATCGTCCAGAGAGATAGACATTGTAATTGGGTTGTAATTAACACAGTCAAAAATGTTCTATAGATGCGCTGAACAGAATAAAACACGTCGTCGCTTGCTTGTTATAACTGCAATAAATGAAAGTAAAACCCCGTCGCCAATTGTTATATCGGTACGGGGATTTAAATGAGGAACGTTGTTGCCTTGTTCTGTCTGCGCCTGACTAATATGCCTATCTGCTTCTGGTACCTTCCGATTCAGCGAACCACGTAAATATCAAAAGACAAAGTCTGGTCTCTGACTGTGTATTGTAGTACAACAACTATGACTACGACGACGACAACAACGACGACGACTACGACAACGACGACGACAACAACAACGACGACGACGACTACAACAACGACTTATTTAGGAAATGGTATTTATACAATTTTACAACCAATAGAGACAGCTAACAGTATTTGAAATAATTGGTCGTAATAGTCAATAGCAAAATGCGTGGGAATGATGATATACCACATATGCGAGATTAACAGTCATTAAGATAACTGAACAATAACAAAGTGCCTGGGAAATGATAATATAACACATATGCGAGATTAACAGTCATTAAGATAATTGACAATAGCAAAGTGTGTGAGAATTGATGGTATACAACTTATACGAGATTAACAGTCGTTAAGATAATTGAACAATAACAATATGCGTGAGAAATGACAATATACAACTTATACGAGATTAACAGTCGTTAAGATAATTGAACAATAACAAGTGTGTGGGATCCTATCACAAATATTCCCTAGACATCGGTCCTTAGAATCCAGAGGACCTCAACTAGGTAGTTCAAACTTCTTTAAGTCGCTTTAACTATCTGTCAAAGACTTCGTGGATTGGTACCAGATTTTGTGTTTACCACGCCTAACTCTTGACGTGGTTGTGTTCTCTGAGATGGATAGTTGATTTGCCAAGCTTTCGTCGCCCTACTAGGCGACATCTTCAGAGAATACTTCAATTTGAAGAAAAGATTGTTTGACGTATGGGCTGAAGATGTCGCCTAGTAGGGCGATGAAAGCTTCGCAAATTAACTATCCAACTCAGAGAATACAACCACATCAAAATCAACCACCTGAGCTACAAATCTGCTCCATCGTGTCTACGCCTAACTCTTTTCAGCCTAATTCTATGTCAGATAAAATTGCTCGTCGGCGAGGGCATTGGTTTGGTCGGCATAACATGTATTCTAGCCATCTCAATGGATATGACTTCACAAAGTGTTCGACTAACTTCCCTTCCTTACCTAGCACTATATGTCTTACCTCAATTTTGCTCACCATATTATACCAGATAACATGAGAGATAGAAAAAGACAGCAGGCCTCTTCCAATCTTTCACTTCGAATTACCATGTCGCACTTTCAAAAGGGAGGACAAACAAAAACTGCTGCTCAGTGTACATATCCTTTGGCTAATAGCGGGATATCTCATCTATGCCAAAAATGATATAAACTAGAAATTGTCAAACAAGCCTTTTACATTCAGACTGAGATTTCGTAGGCAATCAATCCGTTGGAGGTGGTGCAACTTCCTTATCTTTAAACTAGAAGTCGGTGTAGTTCAGTCCAACAGCATCATCTTACATTCTCCAGGAGCGAATCGTATGTCAAACATTTCAAGACTTCTGGTCAAGGTATTCACAATGCTCTGCTGCACTTTGTCAGCGTCTTCACCTAGGAGGACAACATCATCCACTTACTTTAACTTGACAAGATTGTATCCTGGTGACAAGACAATTCCTAAGTCACTAAAGTCAGTTAAGATCGATTTTTTAAATATATTTGTGGTGAAATTAAACAAAAAATGGGGACGGTAGGCATCCTTGACGGACACCACCGGCTGTCTTCAGTTCAAATGATAACCCTCAGTAATACATATATATATACATATACTGCGACGAATTATGTCATCGTTACTGTCTTAAAAGAAGAAACTGATGTACTTACTAACTGTATTTTATCCTCCGTATATGGACCAATCTTTAATACAACCAACATATTCATTTCTGATAATATTGTTAAAAATTGTTCAATATCTCTATTGCCTTCAAAAGAACAGTTGTCAAAATCTTGACAATGATAATTCCATGGGATAGGACTTTATTTTTTTTGTCAGTTATATTATTTCTTTCTTTAAAATTCACATTTTTACCTGTAAACAACATTGATACCTAAATTCAGCATTTCTGTCACCTTCTCTGACCAATAAATATACGGTACACGATGATAATATAGGCTTCCAGAGACAAACTGAAATGGTTGGCGATCCATTAGGAAGATACCGTCATCCACATCGATTTCAAAACTTCTACTATTATCATCATAATCATCTTCACATCTAGTGCAGACCAGCAGGAGGGAAAAAGTTGAAGTCAAAACTGTTAAAAAAAACAAAAAACATAAACGAGGTAATAAGAATATTTACTAAGATTTTTAACTTAGAAAATATATTTTCACGCCTTGACTTGTAGAGATTTGTGGGATTTCAGTCTTGGTCACAGATTGACTTCAGTAAGATAATCACTGAAAACTGGACAGTTATTTCATTCCAGATTAGGACTGTTAAGCAGCAAGCACTTACTATTCCGTCAGGATTGCTGATTATTCTTCCGATGGGATAGAATCTTATGGTCACCCAGTGATTTGTAACGTCTGATGATATTAGACGGTTGAAGGTAATCGGACACAGGAAGCCTTCCACCTAGGTTTCGGGCTAGTCGGCACTCACCAGTCAGCAAGGTATATCTGCAACCTTGAAAGAACTCATATCCCTTCTGAGATTCGAACACGCGTCACCCAGTGCTGCAGTCGGAGACGTTACCACCTAGCGTGGTGCACACATTGCAAGCTTGACTGATAGAATTCAGTCTGCACCGAAGATAGGAATAGACACATTACACTAGTTACTGACTAGTGTGCAATCAAAAGAGATAAGCTTGTTCAAAAACTACACGGATATTAACTACAGAGAAAATAAAATTGAGTCTTTAATCTTGACAGCGCATTTATGGAGTGTTGGTGTTCACGCCTACAAAAATGTAGTCTTCCAATCACTTTATCGACACCACGGAATGCATAGCAGTGAAAGTATGTACTGATGCGTCAGTGACACAAAGGTTAGGACACTCTCCAACCATGCACATGGTCAGGGGTTCGATTCCCAGCCGACGCACATCTGATATCATTGGTCGGCCTACTATATTTGGGCTACCAATATCACAGGCTGAAAATTCTATACTTCTACCAAAATACTGTGTGGAGTCAACCTATAATAAAATTTTAAAAATTTAATTTTAAATTTCAAAGATATCAAATTTTAATTCATATAAGGTTTTCTAAGCCTCATAAATTATGGGTATGTAAAAGTTATTCAAATGAACTGTCGTCAAGATTTGACAAAATAGTTCCAAAATATTTGGGCGCTGAGTGAGAAGTAGACATTTGTAAAAAATTATATTTGTAAAATCTCAGCGAGATTGAAATGAGTAATTCCAACGTTTCGTTCGACACTCTGGTCCGAACCTCCCCAGGGAAATTAATCGAAATTAGCATAACAGAGGTTTAAATATAAAAAGAAACATCACCAGTTTTTAAAAACTTTGTCCAGTCATGAGTCATTCAACAAGAATCAACAAGTATGATAAACAAAATTTTTATGAGCTGTGATCAAAATTTGACCTCGGACTTACAAATATTGGTCTACCTTTGTTAAACACTTTAAACAGAGTGTGTATGTGTGTGTGTGTGGGTAAACAGTTGTAAAACATTTCTTAACGACTCCATAAAAAGATATGGACAGTCGAGAATTTTGACCAAGTATTAATAATTAGTGATACATATCCATTTTTTATTTATTGATAAGGATTTCCTATGCATCAGCTAACATCACACCTTCATGTCTGTTCAAACTGTTAGTATCTAGAATTTTATGATTAGACGTATTTTCAAAATTATGGTGTTCAGGATTGGAGTTTAGTAGAAGCACCCTGTCGGACTTTTTGCTTTGTCTTCTTTCTGAAGATTGAGCTGCTTTATTCGACCTACTGGAGTTGTCAGGTGACTCGACAGCTACGAATTTAAGATATGCATTATTCTGTTGCAGACAACGGAGAGTTAAAACACGATGATTGTGCCAATTACACAGTTTCTTTGTTAATTTAATTCGATTGCAAAATAATTCAAATGAACTGTCATCAAGATTTGACAGAATAGTTCTAAAATATTTGGGCGCCGAGTGAGAAGTAGACATCATTGGACAAAGTTTTTTAAAGCAGGAAATGTTCCTTTTATATACAAAACCGCTGTTATGTTAATTTCGATTAATTTCCCTGAAGAAGTTTGGACCAGATTGCAGAACGAAACGTTGGAATTACTCATTTCAATCTCGCTGAGATTTTACAAATGTAATTTTTTACAATTGTTTATGTAAAAGTTAGTTTGTGTGTTTCTTTCACCTTTTATACATAAACCTTAAGAAATTATCTCTGAGCAGGTACACTGCATTCTACGTGAGACAACAGAGGATTTTAATGTTATCATTTGACTTTTCTTCGGACAGCATTTCTTGATTTACAAGTGGTATTTTGCAGGGTTTTGAGTGATTTCAAATTTGATCCCGAATTGATATCCGTTAGAGAACCATAGAAAACTATCAGGCAGTACGGGAGAGCTATTCCTGCCGTCATAGTTTGATACTCTTAAGCAGGAAGCATCCAAGATCCCACTAAAAACATAGTGCTCACTAGAGACTGACTATAGGATGAGGTCACTTGATATTCTAGTGAGAAGTCAAAACCAGCGGGTTCCACCAAGTTGGTTATTATCCGGCGGACGACATATATATAAATAGCAAACTGGGAGAATTTAGAATTGTCAAGTGAGTCACTGGATTCCATCCCAGTGGCTGAATCGTCAATGAGGTTACAAATAAAGCTGAAGGTTCTGCGTTTGATCGCTTACAGGGACATATGCGAGTGCTGATAAGGAGTCTCAAATTAGGACAAAACACCTAACCAGTACTCCCTGCTAGTTTACAATGACTCTTTAACTGAAGTTAGTTTGTGATCAAAATTGGAACACATTGTTTTGTTGTCATCTAACTTACTGTAACTTAATTTAAGAATACTGATGAATTTTTTTAAAATTTTTGCCTCTGCGCAAAGACTGAGGACTCAGCTGAAGGGAAATACAAACAAAAGGTGTATGTGACTAAATAAATTCTTATTTGCTTATAATCTTGAGTGGATTCATCAGGTCAGAATGTAGAGGATGAACACTCTACAACGATACTTGATGGTTGTAGGATTATATTGGAAATCAATAGCAGTTCGTTGGCATATATTTGACTAGACTGCAGCAGTTCACTAATTGAATAGTGATGAACCTACTACATGATCTGATAGTTTTGACTTCAGTCTTTTTAAGTAAATGTAAATCCACATCTCTGTGAATAGCCTTGAGATTTAAGGCAACATTATTCTATTTAGTGATCCTTCATATTATAGTGGTTCTCAGTAAAATCACTGTAGGAGTCAAACGAATTTCAATAATCACAACGACTTCATTAGTTAACGTTATATGGACTATTACTACCAAGGTTAATATATCATAATGAAATAGCCTGTTAACCTCTCGTGAAAAATTGTAGTTCTCATGGTCAGCTCTTCTGTATAATTCTCTTCAAAATGAATCGAAATACGTGATGAAATGGAGTTGATATCGTCTATGCAGATCAACTGTTTAGATCTGAATATTTAATCAGCGTGAATCAGCTTTTGCATTTCTCTTCAAGTATTGGTTTTGTAGGGATTTTCTTTGATTGCATGGAGGATTTCATCATAAGCTGACGTCAGTTAGAGAACCATTGGAAGACCTGCAGGGAGTACTAGACAGCTGTTTCCTCGGACTAGTTTGGGACTCTTCACCAGAACGCACCCACTGAGGTTCGATTCCAGGAACTTCTGGATACTAGGCAAGCTCGTTGACCATTAAGCGACTAGGACCCAATCCAATGGCCACCCCATGAATTTTAACTTCTGCCAATTCATGACATAGCGCGGCTATTTCGCAATGTCTTCTTTGATGAGTTACTACCTCACCTTCAAACTGCTGTACCCTACTGGTCACAGCTGCCCATTCCTGTTTGACATCCTTTAGGGGCACAAATTCTTAATTTATTCATCAATGAAGGGAAGCAATGTATACGCTATTCATTGAATGTCAGTGAATTCAGTATTACAAATTACTGAATATAAGAAAGTTCCGTTCTTCAATATTTCAAGGTGACCTTAATTTGTTGAAGCCATTGGATTATCTGAATGAACAAAAACGCCATACGATAACGTTATCCTGACCAAACAGGACAGGCCTTCATTACCTTGAGACTAGTATGGAAATCCACTGTACTCACTATAACGAATAATATATGGATCTTCAACACCAATGTCAAGTCATGTTTCACCGGATGCATTTCCAACAGGCTACTGCAGATTTTCATCAAAATCTACTTTAGATGCTTCGACAATGAAAATCCGATGGCTGACCAGAAAGGATAAACACCAAGAAACTCTGACAACAGACTAACCTATCACCCAGAAAATAATCAGAAGTATATAGAGATGGACTGGACACGCGACAAGAAAGCCATTCAAACACATTACACACAATAGACAGCCAAATAGAGCAAAAGTCCACTAGGAAGCGAGTGAAGAGTTCGGCATCTGTTCGAGGGTGACACAGATGACGTCGTATATCGCAGAAATGAAATTTTATGAACGATTATAAAGCCAGGTAGGAAAAAATTGCCGAGAGGTGTATGAAGTGGAGAAGATGAACTTATGAAGCCCAAATACTCCATTCAGAACTCAGAGGAAATAGTCTTATAATATGATCCTGACTGAGTAAGCAGTTTACATGAAACGATGAAGTTTTGCTTTCGCTATGATTAAAATGGAAATTAAGCAGAAAAATTAGATACTACTTACAATAAAGTAGAATGGCTTTCATTTTTAAATCATTCCAACCTCATTCATTATTCGTTTTGAGTTTTTATATCAATCTGTTTATACAATACTATATATATTATATTATTATATTGGTAGAACATAGATGCATCTTCATATGTGCGAGTGTGTGTATAGGTGTTGTAGGTGGGTGCCTACGTATGTAAACTAGCTGCTTAATTGTTTGCTAAGCAAACGTAATAATAATATTTATTTATTTTTCCTTTTTTTATCAATAATGTTTTTCTTATCTGCTCATGTAAGAATGACAATAATAACTATTCCAGAAAACGATTATTACGCAGAATGGAATTTTCATTATTGAACATATTGAAATAATCTATCTATTTTAACAACTAAAAATAAAAAGACGGTTGAAGCAAAGAAATTTTTTTTTCGATGAAGTCATCAACTAAGCTGTACATTCGTGTATTTATGATGAATGGATGGGAAAGTTCCAGAATAATTTCCGGTTAAGGGTCAGATTAATAAAATTACAATTAGGAATTAAAATGCCATAATAAACACAGAGGGGATGGATAAAACTCAAACAAAGTAGCCTCATAATTACTGAGAAGATTGACATATTGTGCAACTGGGGGTTAGAAATGTAGAAATAATAAAAGTGGACAGGATGTTTAGATAAAAAATCTAGAGGAAACTGATATACGCTCTTTCCTCGAGGATTCGGAAGATGTGTAGCGAGGAAGTGATTGACTAAGAACTACCTAATCTCCGAAGAACCCTGATGGAAAATGGTTTTCCGCCCAGGTTGATAGACAAGAACCTCAAGGCAAAGAAGACTTCCGAACAAGTCCAATCCGTGCCAAAGAAAATACTTCTGCTTAATCTAGAATTCAAAAGTGACATTGAAGCAGAAATCTTTCTTAAACGCCTCCCTAAATCTCTGAGGAAAACATACTTCGCTGCGAGCCTACAACTTACGTTTTCCCGCAAGAAACTGTTCAGCCAGAACGCGAAAGACAAGCTGTCGCATTGAGCCACTTCAACGTGCATATACCAGTTTACTTGCTCTTGCGGAGGTGAGTACATCGACCGTTCCATGTGCCAACTTGAAAAACGCACTCGTGAACACTATCCAGCCTGGCTAGTTAAAGCAGAAAACAAACGCGTACATAGTTCAGTGACAGAACATCTGGTCAATTCAGAACATTCAGCGCCATTCGAAAAATCCTTCAAAGTAATATACAAGATTCGATCAAACCTATCAAAGAGAGTAAAATCAAGATATGTGGGCATAGCCGAGGCACTAGTCATCCAAAATCTCAAATTCACGCTATGTATCCAAAAGAAATACGTCCAACCTTTGTCTCTGCCATGGCCATCATAAACAGGTAATTGTTTTAATAGTGACTATCCCATTGCCTTTCTTATCCAAACTTCCTGTTTATTCATGCTATTTTTAAGTTTTTCTTAATCTCTTTTTACACTACCATACTTTCATATTCGAAATTCCTGTCTATTTTGTCATTTTATTATTTCTACATATTTAACCCCTAACTGAAAAAACAATTATTCGTCACATTAGTTATGATCCCATTAGATTTTTTATCCAAATATCCTGTCCATTTTTGTTATTTCTACATTTCTAACCATCAATTACACAATATGTCGATCTTCTCAGTAATTATGATGCCACTTTGTTTGAGTTTTATCCGTCCCCTCTGTGTTTATTATGGCATTTTAATTCCTAGTTGTAATTCTATTAATTTGACCCTTAACCGGAAATTATTCTGGAACTTTCCCACCCATTTATCATATATACACGAATGTACAGCCTAGTTGATGACTTCATCGAAAAGAAAATTTTCTTTGCTGCAACCGTCTTTTTAATGATTCCTACGATCCAATGTGTATATTCCGTAACTAAAATTAACTTAGACAACTGTAAAAATTGACACTTAAATGAAGAATATGTAATAATATTCCCAAGGAACAAGTTACTTTTTATTTACAGATCATAAAGTAGGTTTATTGGTTCTTTATCTGAGATTTGTCCCTCCACATAAAACACCTGCGCTAAATACGGTGTAGCTGAATTTTTATGTTTTTAGCTGTAGGAGCATAAATTGTTATGAAATTTCTTCTCGTTTTACCCGATTAGATATAAACAGAAGGTGAAGAATAAAGCAGATGTTCAGCATCCGACAAGATGACCATGAGCCAATCTTTTACTAACAACATTGTTAGTTAGTTAGTTGGATCAGTGGTATACCAGTGAACCTGATTACAGCCTCAAAAGTTTTAGGTAATATAATATATCCCCTTTTTGAGAAGCTCAGGGAAGAATAAATTATTATTATTATTCCCTTGAGTTACGAGTGGAACATTAAGCTTCAACAACACATCTTCACTTTCTTCGATTTTCTGCTGTCCTCTTAAGCTGGGTCCACGATTGTTCATAATCCCCCATCTCCTCCTCGTACCATCTCATCCATGTCACCCTCGCACTCATAACCAACTCGTCACTTCCCAATTGGATTCCACTCGAGCAATGGTCTGCATTGCGTGTGACATCATTCGACGGTCTCCTCAACGTATGCTCGATCCATCTCCATTTTCTCCCGCATATTTGTTGAGCGATCGGCTTTTGGTTGGTTCGTCACCTCCCAGAATTTCTTGTAACTAATTCTTTATGGCTGGCCAGCCCTTTGATCTTCAGTATGGAGCCGGCGAACGCAGCTGTTGATAAAACTCTGAAGTAGACTGTTGGAAATGCTTTTCGTGACACGCTAGCCAAGTTTCTGACCCATATGGAAGAACTAACTGACTTCACATTTGAGTTGAAAATCTGAATCTTGTTCTTTATGCTGGGTGGCTGAGTGCATAAGATTTCCAAACAGGTTTCAGGTTGATGAAGGCGTATCTTGCCTTTCCGATCCTGGCTGACTTTGACATCTCCAACCGTTCCTCCTTTGGTTGAGACGATACTTCCTGGATAGGTGAAGGAAGTAACCTCTCTTAAATCTCTCCCGTTGATGGTGACTGGTGTTAGTTGTTGTTGCTGTTGGTTCTGGTTGGTTATCTCCATCACCTCCATCTTCTTTATGTTAACCTCAAGTGCTGTCTCGCCACCTGCTTCTTCAGGCAGTTTGTTGTTTTTCGCCTTTAAGTCTTCGAGTTTGTGTGACTTCAGACATATATCATCTGCGAAGTTCAAATCTTCTAGAGTTTTCTTATCGGTTGTCCAGCATATTCCTGACATCTCGCTCCCCACAGTCTGAAACATAATCCACTTTACCACCGTTAAGAAAATCATCAGTGATAATGGGCAGCCAGCTTGTCTTACTCCTGTAGGCACTTCGAACGCCTCGCTGAGTTTTCTGTTGTGGATCACCTGACACGTGCGACTGTCATATAGCTGTTGAATCAGGTTGATAAAGATTTGTGCATTGCACACTGTAGTGTTGAAGTAGTTTCCAAATTACTTCTCGGTCAACGATGGTGTAAGCCTTTTCGAAGTCGCTGAGGCTGAGTTAGAGATTTGATCGGTATTCTATGCTCTATTTGAGGAGTTGCGTAGAGTTGCAGTTTGATCCTTAGATGGTTCGCCTTTCCTGAATCCAGCTTGTTCCGTGCTGGTGGATTTCTGGATTCAGTGAAACCCTTATTTTCTCCAAAATGATTCGACTTAGTATTTTACTTGGCATGGACAAGAGCATTATTCCACGCTAGTTCTTACACAGGCCTACGTCGCCCTTCTTTGGCTACATTAATGAAGAATGCGGGGAGCGAATAAATGAATGAGTAAGTTGTAAGACAGAAGGCTGAGTTATGCAGTAAGTCAACCGAAAGATGGTTTTAGAAATTAACTTATCAGTTTTAACTTATATCAAGAACACTAAACTACCTCAAAATGCTATCCGGCAGCTCTAAAGTCCAAAAGTATCACAAGTACAAACTACTTACTGAGAATCAATGAGAATACGCCCAGAAACTTGCGATCAAAACTCTGTCATCAAGAATCAAATGGAAAATAACAGATTTCCCGGAGATAGTCCAAGATCAAGGAATGAGTTAACGGAGTAAGCGGCAGTAAAGACATACACAACAGTAGATCAAAGCATTTAAAATAGGGATCAACCAAAAACAAAGACGACAACCTTTCAGCCTATAAATATGCACAAAGAAATCTATGTAGACTGGATATGCACTAAAGATACCTTCAAGTGATATTGTCAGCCAAACAGGCCATCGACGAGCGCCAGAATAACAAGTGACAACATGACCATCTACCATAAAAACACAAAATAAAAACGAACAATATAATAAAAATTATGGTAGTAGTACACACGACGTCCGAGTGAATTCCATACTTGATAAGACGTTGATGACATGAACACTAGTTGAAGCTATTTTAATTTATTTCTGATCTTATCCACTCTTCTTTACTCTTTCACAAGCATAATTTTTTAGAAAAATAAAAATTTTCAAAAATGCATTTTCACAAAATTAGAACATAATTTGCCGTTGTAGGTTATATCGAACGATCTGATCTAATTTTGTCATTCTAATGAATATTTACACTATTAAATTACAAAATATTTACTAAGTTCTTTAACCAGTATCATATTACTTTACGTATTTTATATTACATTTTAATAATAATAATAATTTGCTTTAATCCAGAAACAGTACTAGTGGTACAGTGTGGAATTTTCAGCACATATCTACAATATTTGCATCTAATTTTACCAACATTTAAAATAAGTATTAAACAAACAAAAAAAAATAAATCTGAAGACACCAACAGCAAAAAAAAACAAAAAAACAGGATAAACACAAAATAATTATAAATGCGAAAAAGTACCAAAGTCTACCAAGGTCTAATGCAGTGTTTGTGGTGGTAGTGTGAGTAATCCTGAATAATACAAAAATTTTTTCTGAGGTGGTGACTTCGGCGTTCACAACCAATGATTGTCAGTTAATATTGCCGAAAAGTATAGAAAATAAGAAAAAAACAACCACAAAACTAATAATTACATGATGGTTAATGACAGGACAATTTTGTAATACTCATAGTGCTAA